ATCTTTACAGCCTTTAGAATCACACACAGTTACGGTGTATGGCCAGGAACCTCTACAGTACCTCTACAGTATAGCCAACCTACAGAAGACTTGGGGGCAGCTGCTGATGCCCTTGCTTCTGCTGCTCGTGGAGGTCTGTGTGGCTGCTTGGCCCAACACAGGACAGGTAGCTGACCCTCTGGGCTATGCATGGAATCAGAAGGATAAGGCTGGCTGATTTCCCACTGAACAGTGCTTTATTCAGTAAGAAGCTGCACTGAATTGAGACTACTCATGATATAAGCTACTAATCAAAGCAAGGATTATCACAGCCTGCCCTTAAATGAGCTGCGCTCATTTTGTGAGTGTTTCAAGAGTCATCAGTATGCCTTTTTAGGGTCTTCATTATTGATTTTTAATATAAATCTAATTGGGAACCTCAGATTGCTTTTGATTTGATCTTTTTCGGCAGAGACTTAAACCCTAAAGGAAACTAGTCACCTCTTTGATGCATGTGCCAAATTGCAGTCAGACTTCAAAGGGCAAAGGATACATTTTGAATTTCCTTTCAACTTTCCCCCATTGGCCTGGCTGCTACCACATTATGAATTATAAACAATTCTATTTTGCGTTTGTGATTATACTTCACACTTCATTCATAGATCTCAAAATGTATTACAAACTTCAATTAAATAGAACAATACCCTGATGAACTGGTTAGCTATAGTTAGAAACTATTTCAACACCCAACAATGTTTAGCCATTTGGGGAACTGCAGATAGTTCAAGCAAGTCAAGAGAGTTCAAGCAGAGAGGAGAAAAGCGCCTGTGATAAAAGGGGGAATGTCAGTTGACAAGATATTAATCAACACCTTGCTTGCAGCGTGTTTACCATCCTTAGCCTTTTATGAAAAAGGTCACAGTACCAGAAATTCAGAAGACCAAGAAGCCAAACTTCAGGAGGAAATTCTTCATCCACTACTTGATACAGATTCCAGCTGAGCCTTGCTAATAGCAAACAGTAAGTGGCCATCCTCCAGAAATGAATAAAAGAAGACATTTTCTGTGAAGTCATCCAGACTGTGACTATTAGTAACACTTCTGTAACAACTCTGAGCAGCAACAACAGCCTGAACAACAGGGGTTTGGATTAGCAGTGGTAAACCCTATACCCAGATTGGAAGGCTCTCCTGGGGCATCTTCATATAGATATACGTAGGCATATCTTTGAGAGGCCTGTCAAAATCAAAATATCTCTGGAGATACGGAGCTTGAGTCTTACTCACACAGAGGCTGCTGCTTATATAAATGAGGCTCCTCAGGCCTGCTTCTCGTTGCTATTACGGATGACAGTTTCTATCAAGTTTTTTTTTCTTCACTTGTCTGAGGTTCTTTTAAGTATAAAATAGCTGCTGTGTCCCTTCTTGAGTGTAAAGTAGACAGGATTCAGTCTGGAGGACTCTTCAGCTGGAGATGCCTGCCTTAGTGCTTCCAGAAAAGGAAAAAAAACCCGAAAACCAAGAGATTTTTGACAGCTCAGAAAGGTGTGCGTTCTCCTGCCTCGGCCAGGGCTCAGCCATGAGCTCACCCCTGCACTTCTGCTTAGCTTCACAGGAATGAGGGGAGAGCATCGCCACAGTTTCACTTTTGCTTTCACCGGGTGTTAAGGCTCCAGGTTCAGATCTGGCATTTGCACTTGGTACCACACTAAAAGCATGGCTACTAGGAATACAGCACACAGGACATTTGGGGTTTTTCTGCTATTTTCAAGGGGGAGAGTGCAAAAAAAAAATAAAAATCTTTCTTTTTCGGCTTTCATCTGCAACTTTACACATGCATAGCAGCACCTGATAACATGTCAGACTGTGCAATCACTGCTGTAATTACAAGCAGGCCCTGCTCCTGTCTGCAATTTATAGTAAAAAATGCTGGGCCAAGAAATCAGAGGGTATATCTGCAATAAGTGAAGTACCAAAATAATTTTCCATAGTGCAGTCATGTGTATGAGTTTGGAGGCTCTATCTCTTGTCTTTTGGTTTGCTGCCAAATGACACTGACACAATTGTGAGCATGAAGGTTACATTGTTGTGAAGTAAAATCTGAAATCTTTTAGTCAAGGTTACCTGTTTTTTTAATTCACCTAGTCTTTGGACTAGGAAAAAATCACATTGAACCAGCATTAGATAAAATAAAGATAAAAAAATGTCTATTTTCATTTTAAGTTCAGCAGAACCAAAATCTAATGACAGACTGGCCTCTCAGTTTCCCTGAGATTAGCACTGGGGTAATCAGGTGGTTTGCACTGACAGATTCATGCCATGACTTCAGCCACTCAAGCTAAATTCAAGGTTACATAAACTCTGCTAATGCTAATCTGGGCAAATCTTTAACCCGGAAAAGTAATTGAGAGGTGGCCGGGAAATGTCAAATGCTTGCCCCTTTCTTTGTTCACGGAAGGGCAGGACAAAATAGCTGCTGAGAATAAGAAATCTGCATTAGCTCCCCATGGATTACTTTTTATTCCATGCTGAGAAGGCTTTTTCCCCCACCAACTGGAAGTGGGTTAACTTAAAACTGAAAAAGAGAAACTTTAAAAATAGGGAATATACAGATAGAAAGCTAGTGAAAGAACTACTGTGCTTCAAATTCACACCTTCGCTATTAGCAATAGCATCTCCATGACTTTGCTTTAGAAAGCCTGTGATTATTATAGTTCATAACCATACTAAGAGATAAGGAAAAAAATAATCTCCCACAAATGCAGCAACAAATGTTCATGGAATGATAGTCTTAAAACATTTTCATTTCATCTGAATTTTTTAACTACTTGCCTATACACAGCAGTATGCAAACACACGTCTCTAGCCATAGCCAATTTACCCAGTTGTACAGTTAAATTAACAAGACAAAATAATAGTTTTCTTACTTGTTCTTCAGTCAGCCGCTGAAAATGTCGGTTACATATATCCCAGAACTCCCCTTTTGATACTGTATTATCTTTTGAAGAGTCAGTATCTTTAAACTCTTGTGCAAGTGTGTTAAAGCCAGCAGTCACTACTTCTTGTATCTGTGAGAGGATGCCTCTCTCTGACAGCTCCCAAGAAGATTTAGGTGGAATGACTTCTTGCCCTGCCTCAGTCTAGACAAAAAACATACACAGAGAATCAGTAATGGATCCACTGAATAAATTATAAATTGTGGTGTGGCATTCAGCCAGTGGAAGAAGGAAACGTCCGTGGAGAAGGCGGCCTTCAAGATCCCACAGGCAGTAAAACCTGCTTCCAGGAATTCTGGCTTGCACCACAAAAGAGAAAAGGAGTTACGCAAGTAGTTAAGGGAAAAAAAACAGACTCTCTATAAATGTGATCCAACTAATGACAGGCCAACAAAAGCACAGGATTCCATGATTGACCTAAACTTTTACAAAGGTCTAAAAAATTGGGTGATCTTACAAAGAGACCTATTTTGCTAATGCAGAAAAAAGGGAAGTGAGTGCTAACTAGCCCAAATATCCCAAACGTATTCTTCTCATCTGAATAGTCTTTAGCAAGCAGTGGAAATCTCTTCGATTGAAAAGGCACTTCAGTCTGGAGATGAAAGAAAGGGCAATTATTTCCCTTTCCTTTCTAAGTTCCAGGTATATTTAGGCGGCACTTTTTAATCTGGTCATCCACAGTAGGGATACTGCAGCTAAATGATGCAGTTGAAGGCTGCAAAATTACAGAATGTGTGAGGGGGGAAAGCAGAGAAGGGGTTGGGTACAAGTGTGTTAATGCTAGCATGAGATGTACACAGCCCCTTTTTTCAGTATGTTGCTTTCAAATCTAACACCAGTGTATGGCTTCTAAAATCTACCACTGGAGCTCATTGCTAACTAAACCCCCATTATGCATTCTGCAGGGTGGAAACCCACACTGAGTAAGTACAGTAGAAGGTCATATGGCAAGCAGAAATAGAAAAGGACAAAATACAGCTGGTTGGAATAAACTGTAGAGTAAAGCACTGCTAGGCTTTGATGTGGACATACCTGTGAATATAGAAAGTCTCACTGTGCATGCAAAGAGCTACATTTCATAAAATTAAATATCAATAAAGTCTACTCAATGTTTACTTTCTACCTCCATAAGTAGCAGCAAACTTCAGTTTTTAAAATGAAACCAAATCTTACTTATACAATTAGTCTCAAGAATGGCACAATGTGGAATAATAATAATAAAAAACTCAGCAGCAGTATTTTGAAGACAAAACTGCTTAATTTCAGAAATGGAAGCTGACTTTCCACCCACTGCACTATCTAAACTAAATATGTAAAATATATCGAAAGCAAAGTTTTCACAAACATAAGCGGCAGCCAGTTTTACTATAGCTGTGGCAAGAGGTCCCGGTAAAAACAAGAAAAATAATCCAGTTTTGATTCAAAGACATTTCTCTACAGCATTCCAAATGTTAGTATCATATTTTATATGCTCATGTTTAAGCATATAAGCTTTGCCACCTTCTTGCTCCATGCAATATGAAATACCAAAAAAGAAACAGATGGCTTTTGGTCCTGCGCTCCTGTTTCCTTGTCACGTCTCACATGATCGTTATAACTGGATGGAAAAGAAAATATGTTTCTTTACAGAACTGCAAGAAACCTACCTCCTAACCAGAAGACTCCAGTATCTTCAGATGCAAATAGCACTTTTCAGTATTAAACATCCTTTACATAAACCATACGTGTGGGACAGACATTACAGCTGCGTTATTATTAAGAGAAGAAATATGAGAAGTGGAATCTTGCATGCGGACGTGGAAGCCAGCCTGTGCTGTAGTCAGGAAATGAAGGTTGCCGGGCATGGTCCAGCGCAGGGCACACCTTCTGCCTGCCTGACATTACTGCAACTAAAAAAACACTGCACTGCTGCTTTTAATTATTGTAATGAAGCCAAAGACTTAGGGAAAGTGTTACTGCCCTGCAGCCTTTTAAAGAAATGTATTTTTTAAGTGAAAGCTTTCCTAATATATTTGATTTCAAGAGTTTTTTTATTTATTTCACAAGACCTAAAGCACTTTGATGTTAAAATGGTTAGAGTCAATAAATAAACTAAAAAATCACCTGTTCTGGTAAAACACAGACTGAAACTGGAAAAACATATTCAGTTACTGTATTACATTCATCTACCACATGCAGTTAACACATCCAGCGTATATCTATGATTCTATAATCTACAGCTAAAATAGTCACCTTTAGCTGAAATAATGGAGCTGGAGCCTAAAATCTCAGACTCTGGCTCAGGCATCTGTGCATTTAAATGCCATTTCTTCATTTGAAACAAACCTTAAGCACAGTGTGGGTCCATTTCTTAGCTTTGCTGTGCCTTGAAATGGAGCAACAGGAACGAAGCTGTCTCAGAACTGTGCAGCATGTGTCCTGGCAGTGCTTATAGACCATTTATAGAAGAGTTTTTCTTGGGTGAAAAAGGGTTACTTCTCTTTTAGTGATTTTCTGATATTCGCTGCCAAGTGCTCCACTCATCCCATCCAGCCATGTATGCATTTCACTTTAGAATTCAGGACCCTGCAGCCTGCTCCTGGTTTGTGTCTTAGATCACTGCATGGCCTCCCAGCAGTACCTGCCTCACACCATGGCCAGCTGCTGCCATAGGCTGTCAAGTCCAGGTTACCTGGCTGTCCTGCTCAGCCCTTCATGGACTTTCTCGTCCTTCCTAACAGCATTTGAGAGTGCCTTGGGAGGACCGTGTAAATCCACTTTCATCTCCTGCTTTCACCAAGAGAGGGGGGGCATTAATACAAGGCTTTTCTTATGGGCTACCCTATGTAGCTCTCTTGCTGTTAAAAAGCAAGGCTGTATTTTTCTTCTTCACAAAGTTCCCTGCACAGCCTCATGTCCTTTTCTATAAATGGCATAACTATGCTGATTAGTAATAAAAGAAGGCTCCTCCACCCACACCTGCTCAAGTGAAGCTCCGTTCCTGCAGCTCCTTCCTGTTTCTGGAAGATTTTTCTATTAAGAGGAATTCTTAATTAGAAAGTAAATCAGTACATCAAGTTAAATTACAATTTATCTGGTCCTCTTCCCTGCCCTGTCACAAGTTTGACCTCTCTGCTTTTCCGGGGAGGTTCAGAAAGCAAAGGTCTTGGGAAACTGCTTACACAAGAAGGCTCTTGTATCTCCCCCTGAAAAAGGATGCATTTTCCTCTTTGTACGTGAGAATGACCTTTGCCAGAAGTAATCATCCTTTTGACAGTTTACACAGTTTTAGAGGCTTCTGTGCTTTGCCCATGGGCCCTCCCTTACCCTAACAACATGTCTCTTCAAGTTGATTTCCATAAATGCTCTTCCCTAAAGATGTGTGGAAGCAGCAGTATTAGCTGCCTGAGCATGAACCGGGGTGGAAATGTATTTTCTTATGTTCAGATAACCAGTAATTCACCAGCCAGCCGGTTCTAGCTCTCAGTTTTAGCATTACAGAGAAGCTTGTATTTTATGGCTGGGTTACAAGTAAAGCTGTATCCTCATCTGGCAGTGATCAGTCTAGCTCCATTAACCTCAGTGCTGATTTACGCCTGCTGAGGATTTGATAGCTGGTGTGCAACAGGAGCTTGCAATAATAAACCCAATTATAAATAAAAGATGAAAACTCCATTGAGGGTCATTCTGTAATGTACCATTTTTCTCTTGACCAACTATTTGCAACAGACAGATTCAAGTTCTGAGGTCACATTTGCAGGATAAAATATTTTCGGTACCATTTAGAATTTGTAATGGCATACAATGGTTTGACAAAATGATTTGACACAATGAGTCAAAGGTGGCCCACATGCCAATCTCTGCCTTGTCTAGAAAAAAGCTATATCTCTCTATATGTAATTAGAATAACTATTGTATTAAATAACTATAGAACATTAAGCCTAGGTAGAACTGGGTAAAGAAGCAAGAGACAGAGCAAAGCTTCCCTGCTCCTCCATCTCCCCAACACTGTCCAGACCACTAATAGTATTAGGCCATCAGATTAACTATGTTCCCTACTTTCTATTATCCCTGCCTTATCATTTTCCTCTACTTTTAGTAAATATAGAATGAAAGACTTCCATCCCCAGGAACAATTTGCCATTTTGAAAATCATTAGACCCTTTTCTTCATTACTCAGAACAGAAAAATAAAGTGAGGTATGGCTTTGGCAGGCTTGTCAATGGGAAAAGACCCCCAAAACAGTTGTCCTGGCACAATGAGGGACAACCCATTGTAGTCATGGGGAGAGAACTGCACAGGAGACCAGGGACAAGGAGAGGAAATTTTCAAAGCAGTTTCACTATGGATAAAGAGAAACATGGAGTTAGATTATGATGTAAGGCAAGCTTTAACATTTCACAGCCTGAAGCAGGTGCAATACTGGAAAACAGACACAAGCATGTCTGTACCCCAGAAGGGGTATTTCCCTGGAGCACAGCTGTTCTACATGAGGACAAAGTTTCTGGTACTGCTGGCTGAGGATAAGGACTTAACCAGCAGGTCTGCTAGTCTCTGCTGCTGGCGTAATGGGTCATGACTGATGACAGTCAGTTGTCTGATCAAATCAGTGGCCCAGATCAAGAGGGCCCAGGGATTCAACAGATGAGGACAGTGAGTAATGAATAAACCTGTAAAACTCCCACCCCCAAGACAGGGAAAAGCACCCCTCTGTAGAGCAGATACTTATGTATTTCTGCTGCAATATCATAGGTAAGTCATGGCAGTAAAATGAACTTCAGCCCCCCACATCTGAATGCAGTGCGCGAGGGCTGGGTTAGTAATGCTGCTGAGTTTAGGATGCAAGGTTGTAGAAGGACTGAGGATGTAATTTTTCTGTTGCATGGGTTTTTTGAACTCCAAAATTATATGGTTACAGCAGATATACTGTAGTGTTGCACTTGGTGCATTTCATCACTCACAGGTAAATCAGTGCTTGGAGAGTCACAGCACAACCACCCTCCATTTGTGGAGCTGGTTAGCTATGTCAGTGCTGTCTCCTCTGTTGGTCTATGAATAGTTTCCAAGACCACATGGAAGCTGTTATGGTTGCATTTTCCAGGAAGGAGTTGTAGTAGCCACTGCGGAGAGCAATGAGATCTGAGAGCAAGTGGCTTTAGCTCCATAAGATCTTTACCAGCAACATGCCCAACAAAGATGGAGGCAGTAGGGACATATTCAATGCTTTTCACTAGCAAATAGCGAAAACTAGCCCTGGATCTCAGTCCTGGAACCTGGAGGTACAGTTGTCACAGTGCCAGGCTTCAAGAAGAGATGTGAACTTACTGCATTGGGGAGGGTCCTCTCGTAAGTACTAATCCAAAGAGAAGCAGGATGTTCTCTCTGGCAGGAAGAGCATCAAGAATGAACAAACAAGCCTGCAGTTTTGCAGACAGGTAGATTAGATGGAAATGGCTGAAAACAACATTCAGTCAGCAAGTGAAGAAGACACTCCACAGCATGAGACACTCTGCAGAGAAACTCAGAACAGGAAGGTAAACACAAGCGAATATCAAGAATTTAGTGTGGAAACAGAAAGTTCAGGATGAAGTTAAATCAAACATCTGACCTGATATCGAAATGTTCTGCAAATTTTTCTCCAAATAAGTTCTGGAAGTCAATCTGATTTGCAAAATTCATCATTTTGGAAGAAAACACTTTTTAAAAAAACAAAAACAAAACCAAAACAAACATAACCCCAACTTTGCTGAATATGTTTATACTCACTCTAGTAACTCCCTTTGTCAGTTGAAAGACACACCTGTCAGCAAACCTGTTAGCTCAGTTCCTGCCCTTGAATGGGCATGAGCAATTATATCACCCTTCTCTCCGTCATCTCCTCAGCCTGAGCTCTTTCTCCTCACTGCTGGACTTGACAGGTGAAGGTTTACTAAGCTTGCAGCAAATCACTCAGCAGTCTCAGCTCCAGAAAGCCTAAACAACAAACTGTTTGGCTCTGATCATAACACTTCCTTTTCCCGTATACTCTCCACTATAGTGTCACTGTGCTGATCCTGCATGGTAACCTTGCTGTTCTAGACCTGACCAGCACGCCCTGAACTATTCACTTTTAACACGTTCTTTACTTTTTCCCCTTCCACATCTGAAACAGCTCACAGTGGGGAAGGACAGGTGAGTACATTTTCTTTTGGGGGAGTCTGACTCCCGACTGCAGTTTTCATTAGGCCAGAGAGCTTTAGCCACTTATTTTAATGCAGAAGAGCTCAAATCAGGGCTTACTAATCACAGGACTGGCAGGCCAACCAAGAAAAGTTCATGGTGCATATTCCCGGTTCCAGGGTCTGGACTTTTACAAATATCCTCAGAGGGTTCATAACATCCTACCTAAGGCAATGTCCTTTCTATCTACTTCCTCAGCTCTTCTGCCTCTGGTTAGCAACATCCAAGCTAAGTGCCATAATCATGGTTCTTTTTTACCTGGATATTAAGCTGCAATCACATAGCTTAAAATACTTTACATTTCTTTAATTCTATTTTTGTATAGCATAGCCCTACAGCTCTACAGAGCTGTATTTCAGTGAGCATCCTGCTCATATACAGATGCTGTAGGGTGTACTATAGAAAGTTAATCAGAACGTAAAGCTCATCAACATATGCCAAAGCCATCAAAAGATTCACGTGATGCATAGAACATTTAGAAATAATTTCCGTAAGATTTTTTTTTCCATCTCCCCTTATTCAGCTGTTTTCTAAGGAAAAAAAATACAACTCAAACCTGTATGGCTTTTGAGTTTGTGAATGTTTGCCTTTGTGGTTGTGGGTTTTATTTATGAGGTGCCATTTGAGACAAAAGTCATCCCAGGCTCATACTTTACTAGTTCAGTAAATTTTCCATACTTTAATGATCAAGCTGCATACTTTACTTGTTACTTTTTAATATACTTCAGTGATCAAATTGTATAGCGTAATGATCAGTTTTCCTAGTGTGCCTGAATGAGTTGCATACCTCATTAATTTAGATACGTACTTTACAGACCAAAATTGTAGCATGTTTGAATGAAGTGAATAATTTAACAACCAGGCTTCTCTCAGAACCTGCACAGGAGCCCAGGAATACGTGTGAACCCAGGGTGGGATGAAATTGCAAAGGCGTGGGAAATTTTGGGTTGAATTCAAAAGGAAAACATGAGATTTGAGAGCATTTGGAAGCCGAACCAGCACTATGAACCTGGTTCGTATTTGTTTTGTCTTTTCAAAAATGTTCCCTTGTGGATTAATTTGGGATTTTAATGATGGATTTATCCCTTCTACCCCTAACATGGCACAGAAAAACTGTTCAAGGTGAATGCTCAATACTGAAAAAAGCAGTACAGACTCCAGCCCTGTCATGGACCAAGTACCTCCTGAAAGATGGGGAGATAGCTTAGGGTTTTTTTTCAAAGTCGAGGTGGAAAGTATTTGTGATGTTGGAGGACTAACTCCAAGAGACTTCATGTTAAAACATGCACCCTTGCAGAGTATGACCTCAGGAGTGTGCAGCTTGTCACGTTGTTAAGGAGGTTTAGCACTTACTTGGAGAATGAGTAGATACTGCAGGAAACCCTTCCCTAACAAAAGCAGCTACCTGTTCTAAAGTTAACATGAAAGTTTGCTGGCAGGTCGATATTACAGTGCACAAACACATTCTTAAAATAATTTTACTGATATGTTGCATTTCATACAATTGGTCTTTGTGCTGATATGACTCAGTTGAAACTTACTGCATTTATATCAGCATAAAAGCAGGAAAGGGGGAAATGCGGCATTTTCTAACCTATACAAAGTATTCTAATATTGTACACTTGAGAACCATGTCATCTATTATATCTCTTAAGGCTGCATTTTAATTTTAATAAGATGAAAATATAAATATTTTAAAATCCCCAACTATTTTTTTAAATAACTATAATTAAATGTAGTCCTGCCACTAAGGACAAAACAACAGTTGCACTACTATAAATATTAATGCTAAATTTACAGAGAATAAAATACATTTAAGCAACCTTATAAAAATTTGAATAAAACTGCACTTATAATAAGCACTTTGGTAAAGCTATGCCTGTTGGTAACTGACACTAAAGACTCTAATCTGCCACAAAAGCCTTTAACACATTACAGACATTTGGGGCTGTTTAGGGGTCCTCCTTCATTTGTGATCCCTCCTCCTCCTCTTGCGAGTCACCCAAGACGTGCACTTATTTGAAGCCTGACAGACTGACTCAGGACATGAAGAGGCTGAGACAGATCTCCCTGGTTTCCCAGCTTCTACTTTATGACACAAGATTTAATCACTGTATGGCTCTACACAGCTTTGTTTAGCACAACATTCTATTATCGCCATGGCAATAAAGTGGTAGGCTTTTTATATGCTTTTCCATTGGGTGATGATTATTATTTTCCTCATTTTATTTGTGCTTTGAGCATATAGTTTTGCAAATGAAACATAGTTACTTCTTAGAACATAAGATGCAAGTTAATACTTTCTTTTTTTTTCTTTAGAACTGCTTTTTATCCAGCCAGTTACCAGCTTTCACATCCTTAGCCAAGTTCAGGAATGAGCTGCAAGGTCATTTGGACTCCTGCACCCTCAGATCTACTTATATCCGCTTCTCGCAGGGTAAGGCAGGTTAAGGGGGAGAAGTCAGAGGAAAGGGAAGGACTGTGAAGTTAAAATAGACAGAGTCTTCTCTCATTTACACCTTTTGATAATGCTCCTGTTATTTGCAAACACAGTAAGGTTTGCTGCATTGATAAAAGCATGTGATTATGCACTGAAGGATCTGTTCCAGCAGTCTGCTCCAAGTGAACGAGTCCGAGTGAGGCACTGTGGACACAAAACTCTGACACAGAGAAGCAGCAAATCTTTGAGTTGTTGCAGCATGCATATTCAGAGCACCAGAAGACTCTGTCCATGACTGTAGTCAAGATTTCCTCTGTGCTTGACTACTCTGTATTTGACTTTTCTTCTACACCCACGCTGCTATTACTGCTTGGCACCATGAACATGGTGGGCTTCCCACTCCATTTACTTTTCTATCCAGCCCCTGACAGTCCACCTAGACAGGTCAGGGATTGCTGGGCATATTTGGATATCCTACATTCTAGATCGCCCAGTTGGGGCAATCTGGCTGCTTCTATAGTCATGCTTTCAGCTTGACACATGTACAGACCTAAATCTATGTGAGTGCCAGATGTCCAAGAGCAGTTTGTAAGGAGTTAAGGGCTTTGTGGAGTTCAACAGAGATCAATAGAAAGGTACGTGCATTTCGCATGCTTAGTTAGTTAGTCACTTCTGACACATTGGATCTTTTCTTTTAAATAAATATATCAGAGCTTGCTAATGCTTCTTACCTCTATGAGGTTTTATGTTTTTCAGGAAAACTTTTCAGTCTACTGTGAAGTCCTCACAAAGGCTGAGGTTCTTGAGAAGGTGCCTGAACTGCTAGTCTGGTAATTTAAAGCAGAAATGGTCAAGTACTTGCTGAAATTCCAGTGCTTTAATTACTCCAGTATCATCTTTATTGAATGGACAAAACACCTGAGAAGCAAGAATTCACATTTTTAAGCAGACCTAGACATTCCAAAAGTGTTTTTTAGCAGTCATTTAGCAGTTCATATGGAAATACTTGAGACCTGTATGCCTCTTACTTGCATCTACTTTATACATGAAGAAACAAAATGCTTTTCTCAGAACCTTACTTAGTTTGAAGCTTTCCATTCTTTTAAAAATGAGATGCAGTTGTTGAAATAAGCCAAAAATAGCCTGTATTTCTGTGCCATGTGTAAATATAAACATGGAAATAAACAATGACCTACACTAAAAGCAAAAAGGCATTATATCAAGCATCCAAACATTCCTGAAAAGGTAGTAGTTAAGACAAGAGGGAAAACAAACAAAATTTTTTAAGGGTTACCTTAAAGACTTTTAACTGAAATATTATAAATTAAACTAACCTAAGCATATTTAACTTGCCTTTTATTCCCCCACCAAATGATTGTCTCTAGTGGGGCAAGTCTGTTTTCTGCTCTTGTTGTGGTTTAGGGCTGGGCCGGGCACTAAATCCTGGACAGACGCTCTCTATTAACCCCTCTCCCCTCCCCAGAAGGGAAAAGAAAAGAGAATAAGGGAGAGAGACTTTACAGGTTGGAAAATAAAACTAACAGATGTAATGAAACAATAATACTAATACTACAGGATAATAATGTAAATAGGAAAAGAATGAAAAATATGCAGGTATGTACAAATATATACAAAACCAATATAAAATCCTTCCCCCACCCTCCCCTCAATGACGAATGCGTCACCAGAGGCTCTGCAGAGCAGGGCACTGGAAAAGTCCCAGACCAAACTCAGCAGCAGGTGGGAGCAGGATGCAGAACACACGAGTCAAGACTAGTGGCAGATGAACTAGCAGGGTTCTGCTCCGGCCTTGGCCTCTGCAGGATCGAGATGGACGGAAAGGTCCGAGATGGAAGGGCTCCAAGATGGATGAAGAGGGAAAAGGATCGAGACCCTTGTGATCCTTCGGCTTTATACTGAGTGTGATGTATGAGGGATGGAATACCTCGTTGGTCCATTTTGGATCTGCTTCCCCCCCGCCCCGTAGGTGCAGATACAGCACCCATGATGAGACAACTGACCTTGAGCATATCTTCTAGCAGCGCTGTCTGGGAAAAACATGCTGCCAGTTTCCAGCAAGTTCAGTCACTTAAAGGAGACTGAGCTGAAAAGTAAAATCACTAAATAGAAAATTACTTCTACTTAGCTCAAACCAGGACAGCTCTGTAAAGGACTCAGTAGTCCTCCATCCTCATTAGCTTCAGCTCATCCTGAAGGCTTGTTTGCTCTCTTCTCATCCTCCCTTGTACAAAATGCCCTGCCTTTTCTTTGTGGGAGTTTTCTAGAGGTTTCCCAGGGGAAACAGATTTGGTTTAGCACAGTTGCAGCAGGAGGCATGCAAGAGAGTAGTTCAAATGAGTGGCAGAAATACCAAGGTCTAGAAAAGTTGCGGGTCATATCTAGTCTTATTCTGCTTGACTGCTACTTACTTACCATGCCCCCTTGTTTTATTCTGCCACTTATTTATGATGCTGCTCATACAAATCACTGATGTCATAAATTTAAATGAATATTATCCCTTTCAAAACTTTAGGCTAAAGTCCTATTAGTCTGCCAACCCTATAGCATATTGATGTAATACAGAAAATTTTATGTTTTACCATTAGAACTGTTCTAAATAATGGATTTAAAAATGTATATTTAATGTACATGGAGCATGCCTACTCGCAAAACAAATGCTATCATATCCAGAGGACATTGGAAATGAATCCTTTGAACACTAAACAGGATTCCTTAACTTCTTAATGTGAAAGTTTGATCTTTGTTTACATACTGAAAGACTTATGAGAAAAATAAAGCATTGAGTATGTTCTAAGCATTGTACTGAGTATGGTGAAAATAAATGGAAACAATTACACTGGCAGAGAGAACCCACCTGAACTCTTAAACAATTTTTTATGAAACTTCAAAAGTCTGTATTCAGCTGTAGAAATGTTAAGGATGGGATGTGATTCCCCCCCCCCCAACTAGCTGGGCTCTAGGAACTGTGCTCTCAGACCTGCCTCTTTACAACAAAATATTTGGTTATAAACTTACGTTGTTAGAGTCACCCACCACAAAGGTGGCATCAAATATTACTAAAAAATGGCTCAAAAGGGGAGAATGTTCTTATTTTCTCATACAAAGGAAATAAGAAATAGTTCTGCTTCTCCATAGCATGATAGACAGATTCTGGCTCTTCCTGGAAAAAATGTCTTGGCCTCTGAATTTATATTATCCACCAAATGGCATCCTTAAAAGATGAAATGGATGATTTATTCATGTTAAAATTAATTTTCAAGTCATATCTTCAGCAGACAAAACAGTGACCTTCTCCATTCCCAAGACACCCAGAGATGAGAGGACAGATACTGTCTTCTATCAAAATGTAACATACACTAACCTGTGCTATTGTATTTATCTATTTCTTATTTCAATAATGCAGAGAACAGGAAGGAATGTTTTTCTCCTCACTATGAAAAATGTATAGTGATTCTATAAATATTTCAGTATCCTGTTCAGTACTTAGTCTATCTGGCCAAAAATGGCAACGTGGTCCCAATAAGGTTACAAACGTCACAAGAGTCTCCAAATAGTGTGAGAAGAGCTATCTGTAAAGAAACAGGATCTCCTATAGGACTACTTTTTTTTGTTTGTTCCAGTGACATCACTAGTGATGTCTTTGTAGTGTTGTATTATTTTTAGCTGCAGAACAGAGTCCACAGATTGAGATTTCAGAAATGCAGCCATTGAGGACAGGGTATTTCTACCCCCAACATCTTCCCAGCCACTGTTCCCCTCCCCTCACTTGTGTGGGCAGCAGCTCTCCCATGGCAACACACAAGTGATCAGGCTTTTCTCAGGTTGAAGCCCCCTGACCTGGGCCATTGGGTAGAGATACAGCCACTGATTTTGACACAAGGCAGGTGTGAGGACCACATTGCTGGGGATATGGTGGTAGAGAGGCATGAGCCTGCCTCTAAAGCCAGGAGCTTAAACTGGACCTGAAACTGCAGGTGCAGATGAGATGACTCTACAGTTCTTTGCAATAGAAATGTTTTCTTCAAGATCTTTTAGATTATCGTTTCTCACGCTTGAAAACAATCTTGAAATTCTTTCATCAAGAATTATTTACTCCAGAGGCTGCTGCATTTCAGTAGACTTCTACACAACTGTCTAAGACTGCTTAATATACGGCATTTTTTTCATTCAAGGCTTTCAAAATTCTAGAGAGAAGGGTTTTTTTTTAATTGTTCTCATTTTACAGGTGGGAAAACCAGGAAACTTGCTGCTCAACAGCTAATGCTCCTTATCTGTCTATGTCAGAATCAGAAGTGGGCAAGAACACAAATGCAGATAGTTGCAAAGCCCCAGTTAGAGGTTGTAACTTCTGCAGCCACTATAATGTGCTCACATCCAATCACACATCTTTATCCTCAGTCACTTGCTGTGTGATTCTTTCATCTGATAAAACCCAACATGCCTGCCCACGGTAGCATATTATATCTACTTATGAGTCTCAGCTTAGGAAACTCAACAGAGCTATTTGAAAGACATGTAATATTCACATGCTTGGGACAAAAAATACAGAGAAATGGAGGAAGAAGAAAGGTTTGGGAAAGAAAGGAAGGTCCTCTTAGTTTGCTGTTCACATTTTCCTTTCCAATCCTAACCTTCACGAAACCTCCAGGCTTGATTTCATATGCTTGTTTTGTGGTGTTACCAGAATACAATGAATTAAGAATTCTGCAGTTGTCACAAGTTACTATTTCTACATAGGCCACAGTTGTTGGTAGCACTCGATTAATAGCAGAAAAGTTTTGAAGCCTTTGGGCTAGTCCCCAGCTCGACAGGAAAAAAAAACAGAGACTAAGTAAGATGCAGTGACCACATGAAACTCACCTTGTACAACAAATCATAAGATGACACAACTATTTCTTTTATCTTAATTAGGGTCTGTTCTAAGCTGAGCACCGCAAAGCTTGCAGGTGGTGCAGACTGCTTTTGTCTCTGTTGGTGTTTTGATGCTCTGCCTTCATCAATTGCTCTCAGGAAATCAGAATAAGAGAGCTTGCTGTCGTGAATGTTGATTCCTAAGCTAAGGGGGAAAACACAGAATGAGATATCAATGATTATAAATAATTATCTCACTGTTGTCTGTACTGATTAATTATGATGATGTATTATTTGTACTGCAGCAGCACTTCAGGATATGCTTGTGCTGCCAGTGTATAAATCCTGTTAGTTCCAGCCCAAGCTCTTTCTCAGGTCTAAGCCACCAATCCTATAATTTAAATGCAGCCACACGCTCAGATGCAGATCCAGGCCAATCTCCAGATCCTTAAGAGGAGATCTGTTTTATCCTGGGCCCAAGTGCACAACCTTCCAGTCCATCAGCCTTAACTTCATGCTTTTTAAACAGAGCACACTATTTTGAACACAATCTAGTCCTGAATTTACCATCCCCAATCTGGCCAGAGGACATGCAGGCTCCCAACCTTGTCCTTGGATCTCCTTTTCATATCACAGTGTACACAGTCTAATAGATTCTGTTGAGGAGTAGATAGATGTTCCTTCTGCTAAAAGCTGGTACTTAACCCTGCTTCACAAAAATACCTTCGATTCACAGATGCTGAAGCGCTGCTTAAGCTTCCCAATATGTCATGCTCATTACAATTCCAAGAAAAGAAGCACAAGCACATACAGCTTGGTAAGATGCTACCAGACACAAGCTACGACACCCAGTACCACCCTGTGTTACGGTTCATGAATGTAACAGCATAAGTCTACACTTACAATTTCTCTACCCCAGGGAGGGAAACCAAACCAGGTTCTATAGGATGCTTCTCCTTATAATTGTGATAGAAGGGCTTACCTTCCCTCTCAACCTGCACTTCACTTTGTGCAGCTTGTCAGGCCACTAGAGAATTATTTCACGCATCCTTGGCAGGACTCAGCCTCACATCTCAGGCACTGACCCTCTCTCCTTTCTCATGTCCACTGAGCTGCACAGAGCACTGGTATGCTTGGCCCAGCAGCCACTGTCGCTGACTTGTGGCACGCTGTGTCGAGTGGTTCTCTTCTGATCACTTGTGGTCAGGCTGTACCTGGGAGCCCAGCCCATGGGCTCTGCAGGCTGCATTCACGACTTGCTGAATTTCTGTCTGTCAGCTGAAACATCTGCTGGATCACAGACACCAGGGAATTTCATGTTCTGTCACATCAGAAATTCAGTGGGTTACAGAGCTGACTAGAGATAGCTCCAGGTAACAAGAGTGAATATATTTTTGCATCAAATATCAGCATGGGGACAGATGAGCTCTTGCATATGATTTGGGGGTCTACTTTTTTCTTTTTTGCAGGGGACTTTGTTATCAAACTAAATTAATTTTTATTCAAAGATGTTTTTACCTTAAAAAGGCTGGGATTAAGGCAAGCTTCATATAGGCAGAATATATGTGAAAATAAAAGTAATTTAGCATGAAAGATTAAGTTGAGATGAATAGCACTAACCAATACATGAAAAGCTACTTTCCTCCAATGTCCTGTGACTTGAGACCAATTAATCAAACGATACACAGTACATTTTAAACAAGGTCTTCAAACTTGTCTAATGAGCCTGCAGAGTTCATCACCATGAGGGATACAATAGCAGGGGCTTGCTCTGCCCTCGCTTACCTGGTCTAAAGCCAGTACAGTCAATTTGTGGAATTTCTGATCACTGAAAGACAATCAGAGCCTCCAGACTACAGTGTACATGAGGTGTTCTTGATACAGATCCATTCACTCCCATGGAATTATTCCAGATTGACCTTAGAGTTACCATCTATGGAGAGGTTTTTAATAGGCTTCAATAATTTTATAGCAAATCATCAGAACTATAGATTCTTTACACAGATGTATTAGGTAGACAATTCCTATGCTGCAGGGGAATGGTTGGACATTTTTGGCACTTTTTTTTTTTAGAATTCTGGGTCAAGGCAAGTCCTCGAGAGCCAAGACCTGACAGAGGAGATGGCCCCACTACACAATCCTGATTTTCTTGTTTAAAACTAAATTACTGTCATGTACTTTTATCATCTGTTTCCACAGTAAATCACTGCGGACCAATGCCTCAGCTACCAATCACCAGAATATCCAGTTACAAGAATGTCTAATTAATGGGGAGAGCCAGTAAAACAAAGAGGAAGCTTTATAAAACAGGCTGGAAAAGAAATTAACTATAGACCCCATATCTGCTAGTAAGAAAAAAAATATTCAAGAGCCCTGATTTTGCATCCTGCAGCTGCACAGCACTCCCACATACTACCCGTGTCAAGCTGGCTCCAATAGTGGAGACAGTGTGTGGAAAAGGAAATAATCAACACCATTTCAGTGGAGAAATAAATTGCCAAGTGGGCATTAAAATTTTAGTAATAAAACTAAATGCATATGCTAATCTACTCTGTATTATTTAGAAAAGACTATTTTGGATCAAGAAAGGAATAATCTGCACAAAATTACAATGAATGGAGGTGTTTATCATCAAGGGGTCTTTGAGAAAGAAACAAGCAGCAGATTCCTATTAAGGTTTCAATTCATAAAAAGTTGATCACCCAATTAAAGGTGAACTGTGAGAAGACTTTGTTAATTTTATTTCGGAAAAGAGTCTGGTCTGGCAGGCTCTGGAGAACAAAACCCAGTGCTGCCAGGCATACGACCTCTGGGAGGTTGTTTGGTGCAGAGAACAGTAGTACCTAATGTTGGAGCAGGCCATTTGTGTTCTTCAGTCTCTACAAAAGAGATTTTCCTTCTAACTCATATTAATACAACAGAATTAAAAGCACAATTTTGCATGACAGCAACATTGGATCATTTGAATATTATTCCTTTTTCATAGCTTGATTTAATTCTATTTCTATTTTGAACAGGATGTTTCACACGCTTAATCTATTAAATTGAAATTAAGTAAATAAAACAAACTAACAAATTCACAAACTCAAAGCATACTTTTTTGTGTAAGAAGACATTTCTCTCTCATTACGTGCAAAATCAATACATTACCTCAAAAGATTTTTCACTCATATGCAGTTTTAAGCACACGGGATCTCCATTAGTATTTAACAGAGCTGCTCATATGCTTAACACTAAGGAGAAGCTTATAGGCTTTGCTGGGTCTGACTTAAGAGGTGCTTAGGAGATAATCATACAAACCTGCTTAGGAGACAACTGAACTGATCATGATCAAGGTAAGAGTTGAATTCTTGCAGTATTCTGTGCAGGTCACATACTGTTACATAGCCATCTCTATTTTTATCCACTTTATGATGAGTCTTATTGAAATCTTGGAAGTAATCTCTAAATTTATCCCTGAAAGACAGAGGATGTTTATTTTATCTCCTTTGTTAAATGAGATAAAAATGTTACAGACAAATACACAAAACAGGAGTGGTGGGGCAGAGAAAGATTTTGAGCTTATCTGTGTGTGGTAAGTTCATATAGTTCATTCAAAGACTGCCAGATTGTTCACAAATAAACCTCAAACCCAACATCCCCCTCCATTTAATTTGCACATGGAATTGCATGGTTCAAGCCTCCCGTTGTAAACAAATGCTCCTTGGGTGATTAACTGTCTTCTCTCCCCATTCAGAACTGCAGCTACAAAATGTAGTGCTCTCTTTAAAAGCTTGCCCTGGTTGGAGTTACAAAATATGTAGCACAGCTGTTAAAATGATAAGGGTTTGGCAGCATGCTTTCTGCAATTTGAAGCTCCTGAAACTTTGACATTGTAAGAACTATTTCCACAAAAATACCTGAGCAAAATCTGGAGTAGCGCAGGGCCTGACCCATGCCCAAGGGAAGAAGTGCAGAGCTTCTGCTGACTCGTGGACTTCGGATCAGCACCTTAAAACCTCTTTGAGATAGTTATAATTTCTTGCACATGGCCAAACTCAAGCCTCAAAATCTTGACTCTTCCTCACACTTTATTTTGTCACTTATACTTCACAGGCATCAGGGAGATTTCAGAAACCCAAGCAATATCTCTCGCTGTCTCTTGATTCAACAAAAGCCTCTCTGCATTTTGGCTCAAGAGGACAAGGCAAGCACAAACATCTCTCCTTACTGCATGTCTTCAAGTAGCAAAGTCACTTGAGATTAATGTAAGTTAAAACAGTTGTGAATTACATCTTTATGCAGTTTACCAAGTATACATAAATTATCTATGTATATTCAGCACTTACAGGATGATACCCTTATGGCAAAAATGACAAGTTTGGATCTGGGTTAATACCTACAGCTGCACTCCATTTGCTGGGGGATTGCTCTTTCTGACAGCCCTAGGGTACACAGTGTGGAGGCTGTGTTCATTAGAGAGTCTGGATTTGCAGTACAAAAGGCTTATTGCAGTGCTAACACAGTTCAGCAGTGTAACTGACATAATCAAGCATGATTTGTCATCTCAGCCCCTCACCAAGTCTGTCTGTAGATCTAACAGCCTCGACCAGTTCACTCTCCTCCTTGTTAAGCCACTGTCAATCAGCCAGCACCCGAGTCTTACATTTTCTCATTAGTAGGAACAGAATAACAGAATCATAAAAGAGTTTGGGTTGGGAGGGACCTTTAAAGGTCATCTAGTCCAACTCTCCCTTCAATGAGACACATCTTCAGCTACATCAGGTCCAACTTGACCTTGAATGTTTCCAGGGATGGGGCATCAGCCAGCTCTCTGGGCAACTTGCTCTCTGGGCAAATTTCTTCCTTATACCTAGTCTGAATCTACCCTCTTATAGTTTAAAACCATTACCCCTTGTTCTATTGCAATAGACCTTGCTAAAAAGTTTGTCCTCATCTTTCTTATAAGCACCCCTTAAGTACTGAAAGGCCACAGTAAGGCCCCTCCGGAGCCTTCTCTTCTCCAGGCTGAACAAGCCCAACTCTCTCAGCCTGTTCTCATAGGAGGGATGTTCCAACCATCTGATCTTTTTTTGTGTCTCTCCTCTGGACCTGCCCCAACAGGTCTATGTCTTTCTGGTGCTTTGGACCTCAGAGCTGGACGCAGTACTCTAGGTGGAGTCTCACCAGAGTGAAATAGAGGGACAGAATCACCTCCCTCGCCCTGCTGGCCACACTCCTTTTGATGCAGCCCAGGATATGGTTGGCTTTCTGGGCTGCAAGCACATGTTGTTGTCTCATGTCCAGCTTTTCATCCACCGATATCCCCAAGTCCTTCTCCATAGGGCTGCTCTCAATCCCTTCATCACACAGCCTGTATTTATACTGGGGGTTGCACCGATGCAGGACCTTGCAATTGGCCTTGTTGAACCTCATGGGGCTCACATGGGCCCACTTCTCAAGCTTGTACAGGTCCCTTTGGATGGCATCCTGTCCCTCAGGTGCGTAATCAGTCATTAGAAGGCTAACATGGGACATGCTAAAGCTCATATGCTTTTTAGCAGTACTTAGTAAGTCTTTTCAGAACTTTACAGACTTTCATGGATCTCCTCAGAGGCATCTGGTCTCAGCTACAGTTACTGGTGCTGTCTTTCTTCTCACAGCACTGCAGAAATCTTGGTTTTCCATTTGTTTTTAAGAAGCTGTAAGTTCAGTACTACCTTTACAAGAACAGTACATTTTCCTTTCCATCTTTTTGGAGTTTGCACTTCTTATGAAAAAAAGAACAATTTCCCCCATAGCTCTCAGGGTTCAGGAAACACCATTGAGTATGTAAACAACATCACCTACCTTAAAAATTCTGAATTATGATATGACTTAGGAGGGTTGTTAGTGATTTATTGTATGCTTCAGACCCATTGTACCTTCCACTGTTATATGGGCTAAATTGGAAGTACCAGGACACCCTGCTCCACCAAGTGTCAGCTGTCAAGAAATCATTTTTCAGTGAAAGTATGGCTTGCTTCGCAGCTTGCTTGAACCACTATTGTATTCAGGATATCTGGCTATCCCTCATTCTTTAAAAGTAATTTCAGGCCTGAGCTGCTGAACAGGGCACTATTGATATACGAAATTTCTGGGACTCCATACCCCAAAGAGTAGAACATTACTGTATGCCATAACATGTTCTGGTGTTAAATTCAATCCAGATGTGATTTCAGGTTAATGCCCAAGTCAGATACTTACAACAGGTTCTGATGAATCAATACCTTTCACATTTTTCAACAGTCACGAGCGTCCTGTACACTCTGTGAGGCACATCAGATCACAACGCATTGACATCGCTATGCGGTTACCTCTGAAGTGTATGCTGCTAAACACAGAAAACTCTGATCTGAATTGGTCATATGGGCTTGGTATGCAATGCCCTTGCTACCCAACAGGTGGTAACCTTCATGACTTTCTGTGTTGTGTCATCTTTTGTACAGCCTCACCAAACCTAGACCACTTTTTTCTGAAATAGGATAATAATTTTATTTAAATTGTATTTCGAGGTGTTAGGCCATTCTCTGTGTGGTTTTCAAGAACAGAGTCCTTGAGCTGTCTAGAAAGTATGTCTTTGATCAGTAATTTTTTCTCTGACTTATGCTTTACTTTCAAATTGAATGTTTTCTACCTAAAAAAACACCACTAGGAAGTCATACTATTTTTATATTATGGAAGCTGGTCTTTCTTTTGCCTACAAAGTGGTTTGTCTCAGCTCTGACTATAACAGACCAACAAACAACTATGTGGCATTTCTTAGAATCAGAGAGCAGAGCCAGAGCTTTGCTCTGCTTTCTTCATGCCTTGAATCATGGTGTTGACAAGCCACACATTTCCATTGATTATTTTTTCAATAATACTGCCTGTGAGCCATCTTTTGAAGACCTTGTGTGTCTTCTAGTGCCAATATACATAAGGTCAGGCATCATCTGTATGAATGCCTTTAAGTTGGGAATTCTTTTCCCAGATTTACAGCCCAGTATGTCCATTTTGTGTAGTAACTCAAAAGCTACTTGCACAGATTACCCATGTGATATGAACTCTCATGTAACATTCACATGCTCACAGGCCTCTGGACACCCTTGTTATCTTTGTGGATGGCATAGTTATAATGACTCTGTTTTCTCTTGTTAACAGTTAATATTTTATGTTTTTTTCTCTGTCCTTATATTTGCATTTCTGTTTAATCCTACTTCTCAGGCACACTTGGATACGGTTTTTCAAATTCCCTACTGGTTTTCTTTCTACTTGAGATCTTCAGTATCTGTTTAAGCAGTTACAGTTGTTTCAAGTGAATGGTTTTTCCTATACTTTTTCTGTGAAAACTCAAGAATGGACTTTAAGCCTAAAGGAAGTATAAGAAAGCAGAATCTCCTGTACAGTAGTCTGAAAATGCATAGTGTTAAACTCCTGTCATACAAAGAAGTTTGCTTGGATCCAGCAGAAGAATCTGAATTTATAATTTTTTAAAAAATTGATTAATATTTGTAAAAACATATGCAATCTTTTTACCTGAAAATATCCTTTATAGGACAGAGTCTGTCCTGAAACATATACTTAGCCCCACTGGATGTAAGAACAATCTCAGTCACTTGATCTTCCAGTTCCTTAGGGGCTCTTCCATTTTTAAACTTTCCACCATTACTCCTACATAATCTAGCTCCTTTATGAGCTTCTCTTTCACAACCAGAAGAATGTTCCTAGCTGCACACATTGCTGTGAAAATACAGCTCTGTATTCTGTGTCTATTTTACCTCAGACACGAAATATTTCTGGGTACACATCTCCTGTGTTTATGGTTCCTTCATCAGTCTCACTGCTTTAACCAAGCCCAGGACTAGCCATGTTTTAGACCAAATATTAACTCTTTCTCCCTATAAACTTAAACTACCATGCTCATCTTCACTTTACAATTTAAGTTCATATACTCCTTTAGGAGGAATTAGATTATCGCTAGAAACCCTCAATTTCAATAAACTTTCTTCATGTGCAGAGATTCCTGAGTCAGAATTTTTTGTGTGTTTGGAGGTAACATTGACTGAGGACCAGTTTTGAATTTAGAGGTGTTCATCTTCTGCAGCCCCCTCCTGCAGATTTTGCACAGAATTTGCATGGTATTCATTGTATTGTTGGTTTGTGCACTATCACATAGAACTGGGCATATGAAGATTATTCTTTTTTGCTTCTGCTTTTCCCATTGTAAAGTCTCGTAAAATAACTGGATTTCTTATAGCTGCTGCAGAATTTCTAAACTCCTAGACATAATTTGAATCTGTGAATTCTCATATATTTAACTTTGGCTACTTGCAGATAGCTCTGGAAAGTCTCTCCAAAATTCTCCTAGTTTCCTTTCTTGACAGCATGTCCTGCTCCTCTTCTGATATTTCCATACATGTCCTTGTATTTCCTTAGGACTGTCCAAGCTTAACTAAACAGATTTTTCTATCTTTTTTTTTTTTTTTTTTTGTGGGGAGGGATCCTACTTTCCTGGGATCTTTTCTGGATCTTTGGATCTTTGATGTCAATCAGTATCTGATCCCTTAAAATGAAATCTCTGAAAACATCATGCCCAGTTGACTGATCCGTTATTTTAAGATCAGCTAAAAATTCTTCAAAGGATTCCTTCTTCTGCATTCTCATATGAAACGTGTCTTTCGAAAGTTCAAGTTTCCTTGGGAGTGCAATATTCCTTCAACTTTCTTTCTGTAGCTGCTTGGATTGCCCTCTCACCCTGGCTTGGTTTCATGCCATTAAAAACTTTGATAGCTCCTGCTCCAGTAATATTCCAGTAAATAGTTGTGAGCTTCCTTACAGTTGTATATAGGTTACAAAGCATGATGTGAATCTTTTCAAGGAAACTGCAATACTGCCAGTGTGTTTTAGAGTTTCTAAAAGCCCCTAAAGAGCCATTACCTTTTCTCTCACTTTCAAATCTCTTTTTTCTCACTTCTAAATCTCTTTTTTTCTTGTTAATTCCTTCCTCTTTTTCACGTTCTGCTCCTGGTATCATGTGGTACTTGGTTTACAGTCAAAACAAGACTTGTACTGGAAAGAGCATGGAAGTATGCTGCAGAGGGTGCACATCAGTCAGAGTGCACTTGCATTGCACTCAAACTGACTTTACTCTCTTGAATCAAGATGTACCTAATTACTGCCTAACCAGCTCAGACTCCTTCAACCTCCTCTTGGATATGAGACCCTAGAGATCCAACATCTGCTAATTACATCTCTGAGTTTTAACTTTTATTATGTTCAGAAGTCTATAGACTTTCCAGCAGGAACATAAATCTAGAATCTCCTGACAGAGGGTTTGCTTTTTTTGAGTTACTGTAGTGTGCCACAGCTTAAACCCCACAGCTTTACAGCAGTCACAAAGGGGCAGTGATGGAGGGGGATGGTGGAGGGTGCTGAGGGACAGCAAGTGACCAAGAATGTCACACTAGGGAGGCAGGATACAGTAGCCTAAAAGCCATTTTTGGCTTTTTTTTTTTTTTTTTACATTTTTGGTTGTTTTTACAGCTGACCGCCCAAAGGGCAGTTTGTGATTCCAGCGAGAGATTGAACTCCTCCAGCTCCAGAAGATGATCTAGCACTGCTCCATCCAACTTGCAAAGGTGTGCTTTGAAGGTGTGATGTGGTCCACACTATACTCTCATTGCAGAAGACTTCTGGAGCCTTTTTCAACTGCATGTTACTTTCAGTGCCAGTCTTCACCACTATCATCTTCCACTTAAATCTTCCCAATGAAAGTAAAGGCTGAAATAAAATCAAAACAGTTTTTGAGATTCATATTTTTGGAAATTTGAGGCATTCAACATTTTTGGACTGATAAAAGATTTCCAAGCAGTAATTATTCAACTCACAGCAGTAAATAGCTGTGTGGAGAATATGAGGATTAAAACCATAGATCAAGCTAGGTTGCCAAGAAATAGTATTTTCTTGCAAGTGTTTTGTATTTTTCTTGAAGAGCTGGAGAGCCACTGTTCGATGTCTGTTTCTAATTTGGGCAATTTGTTCCTGTGAGTTACAACAAAAGCAAAAGGAAAAAAAGCCTGCACAGCAGTATGTTTTGAACTGTAAGATGTCCAGAGCTTTTGTCTGCCTCACAGTGTGCAATCGCAGGGCACCAAAACTGCTTGAAAGCTGTTAGGATGAGGTTCGTAGCCCTTGGAGAAAGCCAGAAGAAAGGGCACGGGCTGGATGAGAATAGAAATGAGAGGGCTTAAGCAAGATCACAGACCGGGGAGTGGGTGCTGCTCCTGTTGCTGTAGTGAGTCCTACAAATTCACACCTCAGGCAAATGCCTCCTCCCAGTCTGAATTTGAAAGGTGAAAGGAATCCGTTTCCCAACTCATTGAGAATGAAGTGCAGGTCAAGATCCACGTGGATCACCAGCATTAGGTTTTGCAGCCACTGCATCAGTTTTTCCGACCAAAAGTAGATCTCCTTACATTGACCTTTACAGCAGAAGGGCACGGTGCCCACCTGTGCTTCCCGTATCCCAGCTGGCCTATGTGGTCCTGGAGCAGAAGGCTGACACTTGACTGGATCGCTGCCCTCACAGTCATCACATGGATGGATTTCATTCGTCAGACAATGACTCTGGCTTAAGAGTAATTTCTGGCTTTCCAGGGCCTAAGGTGAAATCTGAGGAATTCAGACGCCTGGATTCAACTCCTCTTGCACTTCCAGCTTTCTGAGAGAGAGAACCAGACAGGAACAGCTACCATGGGCTGCTCCCACTGGCCAGCAGGTGGGTAAAGTGTGGGATATGAGAACAGAACATCCAGAGGAACTGAAAGGTGGCAATAACTGATAACAAGACATACTTTTGCAGACCATGAGTGATTAAGCTGTGAACTTATTCCCAAAGGAAGCTGCAGAGGCCAGAAGTTTCAAAAGATTAAGAACAGAAATGAATGTCTCACATACATAAATCAAGAAATGACAGAATCTAAGAAACAATTAGAACATAATTTTTGGAAGGGATATGAGTCCCATCTACAGGCTTAAACCAAACTCTGTCATTGCCCAGGATGAGACAGCTCCAGTGCAGGGGGCAGAATATTCCATGTCCATTTATTAGAATGCATTAGCATGCATTTGTGTGTCTAGTTGCCATGTACATAGTTCTATACATATTTGTTGTTATGGTAGGTTCTCAAAAGTAAATAATTCTAAATGATGTGAACCTGCCAGCATGTCCCATCATGACTATTTTATTTTTACCCAGCATGTCTTCCCCATTGATTTAATTACTCTCCAGCTGCTTCAGGATGAGTATTTGCATCTTTGAGCCACACTGCATAATTTCTGCTTGCAGCACAGCATCTTCCCTAGCTGCAAAGCTGCTTCTTATTTATAGCATTGGAGGCAGGGCCACCTTGCACTTGGCATTGCACTAACAGGGAAGAAACAGAGGGTTCTTGACCAAAAGAGCTCTTCACCCAAGTGTAAGACTAGAGACAAGTGTTTGGTAGAACAAATGGAGTGGAAGAGCCTAGTATGGGACAGTTAGGGCCTAAGTTTCACATCAGACAGTTACAAATACAGTAGAAAGCAATACTTACAACACAGCAGCTGCCTAACCATCTCTGCTGTATATTAGGCAATTTTTTACAGGTGGAATGCTTGTTGATACCTGTGGGTGTCATAAGCACAGTTTATGCCAGAGAGCTGCAATGCAGGTGGGAGAGCTGCGATGCTGAAAAGAAAGGACAGTTTTGCCCTTGATTCCTTCAGCCTATTTGGGATAAAGAAAAACAGAATTTTAAAAAGCAGAGTAAAAAGGCAAAAGTCTTAGCTTACAAGCTTCTCTCTGTGTTTTGTGGGTTTTTTGTGGTTTTGTTGTTTGTTTTCTGTCTAATGATTTCCCAAGCTGCCACTTTATCTGCAAGACAAAGCAGCTCTTCTTTGTTTATGAGTGTAACACCTTTACCAACAATGTCACGGGGAATTACCATTCTTATCAATAATAATTTATTAGTTCCTACAATTTCCAGACACTTTCCAAGCACAAAAGAAAGCAAATCTGTGCTCTTGGGAGTATATTTTAACCTGTTTTCTGCTCCTGAGGGTTTATACTCCTAAATAAATAAAAAACTTCAAGCAAACAAACAAAAAACTAACCAACTAACAAAAAAATCCCAAAAACAGCCCAGGAAAAGTGAAAGCACAAACAGAAAACATGATAAGCATCCAAGCGGTGTCTATCCATAACCTGGTAACAGAAAGTTTTAACAGCACTGCACTGGGGCAAAGGATTCTCCTGCTGCCTCAATCTGCTGGCAGGTGCAGGAATCCTACAGCAGCAGCAGGCTAATCACTGCTGACTCACTAGGGCAAGCATGGATCATTAGATTCCCCTCTGAGTAGGATATCATTCTGTCATTTGTTTGTCAAACACCCTTCTCAGGAGCATTGACCTATTAACTCTGTGAGTGTTGATTTTGTTTGAGGCAGAGACTCCTCTTGCTTGGAGACAAGACGCTTATTTCTCTCATATAGAGCCAGGGTCCATACTTGTCAAGGCTGCTTTTTGCTGTATCTACAAAGTCATTTATAAATGATTTAACTAGCTGCTAGTGGGATGTGAAGCCAACTGTGATTGCTACCTGTCCCTCATCCAAGGGACAGGATAGGATGTGGGACCACAGTGCCCAACCATTCCAGCTGCAAGAAAAGCCCCCGTTGAGCATAATCAGGTAGGTCTACTTCTACGTTGCTCAAAGCAGTCTGAGAAGAAGAAACATACAGGGTGACACAGCTGCACTTGCTCTTCTCCCTCAATCTGAGCTGACAGCAGCATGAGGACTGGAACAAGCTCAGACTATACTAGTAAAGAGGCCAGGGAGCACTCTGGGCACAAAGGCCAGCTGGCATATCTCTGCAAGTGAACTTTCTTAGCCGCTGAAAGGGAGCAGCTGCCTGCAACCTGCCTATTAGGAACAGTCCTTGAAGCATTCTTGCTCCCAAACAGTGCTAGGAGTGATCAGGGAAAACACTAGCTGACATAGGCCAAAGCGTGACGAGGACTGTCTTGGCAGTCTAGCAGCATGGATTACCGGGTCTGGGAATGTGTCTGGACATCCCTATTTGTCAGTATAGATGCTGCCATAAAGTCTGCAAAATCGGGAATATAAGCCATGGAGAGCACCTCTCAAAAAGGTGCTCACAGTGCACACTGAGCTAGGCTTATCTCCATCAAATCAAGCAAGTAACATTATGGATCAGCTTGGTCCAGTACCTTCTGAGGCTCCTTTTCAGAGTCTTTTTTTTGCTAGAATTACATTTGTATTGTACATAAAGTCATCTTAACAAACTAAACACAAACACGGAAAGTTATATGCTAAGCTCATAAATAACTTACTTGGTCTTGTTTTTTAATTTCTCTTACATACAGAGTGTTAGTTTACTGTTTCTGCTGCTCTTCCAGCTTTGAATGCTTCTTTTGTTGATTATTATAATGTGCTTGTAAATGTGTCTAGCTGTCTTCCATGATGTGTCTGCTGAGCCCTGTGTCAGTGGGTGCAAACTCTCTCCCCAGTTTCTGTAAACATTCTTGGTGAGTAAGATATCCTTTTGCATCTGTATCATGCCTTGAAAAAAATGCTCTTTTTAAATATTCATGTGTTCCTCACAGAAAGGCATTACAGATGTTCTTAAGTGACTTAACAGCTTAAATCTCACTGACTTCCTTTCCTTATAGGGGTGCCATACCACACTGAGAATGAGTGAATGACTTTGTATGAGACTCGAAAGATAGGGCTTATGTGTTGTAATTATAGAATCGATTCTGAAAATACTACCCTAAGGATCAAATTGTCAGGAGTATTCTCCAGTTTTCTGTACTGTTGCCTTTCAGTGTTTAGCCTGAGATGCAGAGAACTGGGGCCCTAAAAATCCAGTCTCAAGTGTCTCAAACTGGTCATACAAGTATGAGATGCTCAAAACTGTAATCATCCTTCAGAAACATAGGTTTAGCTTCATACACCTTCAACCCTTCCATAGGCTTTTCCTCCTACAGTTTCTTCCCCTGCTAGTGCTCCGATGCATGGTAATGCCTAATTTAGCCTCAGCTTCACTCTAATTCCTTTATTCAAGCACATAAGAGATTTTTAGCTATTCTATAAAAGGAGTGGCTGATGGGAGTGAAGTTGTGCAGCAGATAACTGCATGAAAAGGATACTCTTCAATGTGCCATGGCATCCATAAGGAATAAGAATGGAAAGTAAAATCTAATGGAGTAGAAAATGATTCAGAGATGAATCATTGCTAAGAAAAATCTATATAGTTAATGCAGTTTGAAACTGAAATGCAATACACTTAGGTTCTATATGTTAGAGAGTGATTATTTTTTTAAATAGACCTGTAATGAAGGTAGCTTTTTATATAATGCCACATACAGCTGACATCTATGCCAATTCAAACACAGTTTATAGCACAGCTCCTCTTTGTTGAAGGCAAACAAGTATTTTCCCCCACTTCACAACAAATTACTTGTCTATAAAAACATTTCATGGTATTACTTGCCATCTTTACACAGCATGAAATTACCTTTCTTTTGTTATGTGTTTGGTATGTAGCATTTTCTTTTGACTGAATCACTTTCATTTAGGTTGAAAATATTCTAAGTAAATTCAGCGCTCTGAAAAGAAGAGGCTGGTAGCACTGCGTTCAGACAGGTATGCAATGGGGCTGTCCACATGCCTCCTGATAGAAGCTTTGTCTGCAGTTCCCACCCGGTCCGAGATATCTGGAAATGACTTTCACCCATCACAAACTGATGTAGACATTTGTGTGCATAAACAAAACTGATGAAAACCAGATTAATTTACCAGTGATCTAAGGTGCTGGCCAAGAAAAAAAATGCATGCTAAAGAGATCATTAATACTGAAGCCAAGCAAAAGTTCTGTCTTCGAATTCGTTGGAAATTGATGGATCTAATTGTACTCTTGAGCTTAGTATGATAAGACACAGCCTCCTATAAGACAGTGTTATGATCTGAGGTCACAATCATAACAAAATAAAAGATTTCTTGTGCAGTGTAGTCTGTTGTCATTCACTGCACTACTGAAGGCCCTGTAATCCTCTAAAAGATGCATTATTGCAAGAGCTAATCATTTAGAGTTGTCATACCTTGCCCAAAGCTGCTTAAATTCTTCTGGGGTGATTGGAATGCCAAATCTGAACAAGATTTTCTTCAAGTCCCTTGGTTGTATAATGCCATTGCCTTCACTGTCAAATTCCTGAAAATTCTGGAATGTGAAAGAAATCATCAGTAACAAGAATCAACAAGTTAGGCAAAATGTTTGATCTCTCTATAAGCTTAATGAATAATAGGAACTGAGAAAGAAATGGAAAATCATACATTCCTGGATTTCATATTATTATTTGATTTTTTGCTGATTCCCAATTTCCACTATGGATGTGCAACTCTCAAAAGGTTGAAAGGGGATTGACATCACAGGTGTTTAGGTGATGTACTCTGTGTGGTAAGTTTCTTACTATGGCAAACGCAGGGGATGTGAGCATGCAGCTGTGGGTATGCCCATGGCTGAAGCATGCCAGTGGAAGATAAAGGCACTGGAAAATGGCAGACCTGCAGGTTTGCTCCCCAATTTGTTCTATACCTAATATGAATTAGATTTTTTGCTTTGGGTTTTGGTTGGTTGGTTACTGAGATTACCAGTACTATTGTCTCGTTTACACAGATATTTAATGAAAACATTGTATTCACTTTTCCTTATGCTACTCTGTTCCAATACTGCAATTATTCAACAAGTTTAGAAGTTTAAAAGATGGAAATAATTTTTACGGGACAGTTTTATGAGAGCATTTTGAATGGTGCAAGCATCCCAGTCAATGCTTCACCATTCTGGTCAACACTGGGTAGAGTAGGTGTGTCAAACAGGCCTCTGATGAAGCCCATTACTACTCTTACAACAGAAGCATTAAATAAAACCAACAATAGTAAAATATGAAGAAAGTTTTAGAAATAACTATAATAGCATCTACTACATAATCAACATTACAAAAATTGAATATTATTCAAAATGTTGATTTTTTTTAATCACGTAGTAAGTTTTTATCATTAATGAGCTATTTTGCAAAGGTCTCTTTGAATATTTATAGAATCTGAAGATCAACATTGCATAATGTTCTGAAATCTATTAGTGATGCTTATTTATTTAAAGAAAACATTCTTCTTACCCTTGCTAGGTCATGCCATCTGGTTCTTGCTTTGATAACAAGGTAGTAATGAGCATGATCACAAGCTAGCTCTGCATCCGTTATCGTCTGTTTTTTTCTCAGGAAAGGAAAAAAAATAAAATAACAACTAACTATGCTCTACGTTAGTGGGCTCTTTAATCTCCACAAGTTTCCTTCCCTTTTGTTGTTCTTTATGGTAGTGGTGGATTTGTTTCGTAGTTTCTAAGATACCCAATAAAGACTGTTACTTCACATCTGTGTAAACTTAATTCTTTAAATACTGCCTTATTTCCCTAGCTGCAGGTTAGCGAAGATGTTTTAAATTTTGTAATTCCCTATTTATTTTCAAATCAATGTTGTTCAATTCTCCCTCAAACTCAAGAGCCCGCACAGATCATTTGTACGCATAGAAGGAAATGTTAATTATCTCAGAAACAATTATATCCTGGAGTGACTCCAGGAAGATTATCCTTGATTTATATCAGTAACTTAGATCAAAACTATCTTTGTGAGTCACCAAGGCATGACTAGTAAGTCTGGGGAGTAAAACTCACATTTGCAAATTTAGCCACCATTACAAGTGCCTAACTTCTGGAGGCCTGATTCTTCTGGTTGAATCCAAACCTACAGAGGAATATGGGTGCCTCAGATTAGGATCCAGCATAGCTAACACACTACACAGAAAGCTGACTAAATTTGTGCGCTACACAAGGATGCATGTACATGAGAATCGAGGGCAACTTATGTCACACCATTCTTTGAAGTAGCATTATGTTTCTTCACCTGAGAAGAAGAGTCTCTCTTTCGGTCTCTCTAGCTTTATTAACACTTCCAGTTAGAAAGCTAAGGAAAGGCTGTTCATTTCTTTTAACACAGCTGCCTACCTGATACTACATCCTAGCAGCATTTCTCCTCCGGCTACTGCTTTGCAAGGAAATGCAGCAGACATGGCTTCAGAGCCTGCTTCAGCCACGCTCCAGGAATAATGCTCCCTAGACCAAGATTCTCAATGAGAGGCAGAGGACTACTGAGTCTGCAGACCAGGCAAGATGTGGAAACTACATCTGACCTACCCACTGAGTTCAGCACCCACGGTATGTTGCAGATCAGAACTTAGATCCTGGAGAAATGCAACACTGCAAACTCGGTCACTTCTGAGCTCCTGGGGCTCTGGGCCATGACAGCCTTTGCTGACAGCTCCATTTGGATTTAGAAACATGACTGCCACATTCATCTATTTTAGGTGCCTGACAGCCTTCTGAGGTTTCCCCACTCCCACTGCTTGCAAGAAGAAATGGACCAACAAATACAGTTTAAAAACTTAGCTTGGAATCTGCAAGTGTTCTTAAGGCTTTCAATTACTGTGTTTTCTTTGTTGAACTTCTGAAACAGTAATAGTATTTGAAATGAGGAAATTCTGGAGCTAATGTCAAATCATTTCAATTTCTAGCTAAGTCCAAACTGAAACAGAAATGAGAGTGTGACAGTAATTGGTCTCAGACTCCAACTGTTACCAAGACTCGGTCATCATTCATTTCCTTTCTTGTTTTAAACTAATGTCCTTGATTCACTCAGTTGTCCAATTCAGGAAAAAAGAAACACAAACCAAGCAGATAAATATTACTAACATCAGAGCCAACAGTAATGCTGTAAGAGACAAATAAAAACTGGGAAATAAGCCTATGTGTATATATCGCATCTTCAATGCCACAGTGGAGATGAGTTGCTGATCAGGAGCTTTTTCAGTCCTGCTGTATCTTGTCTTTATATTTATGAATTTATCCCTGTTTGCATAGTTAAATGGTTTCACACTGAGTCTTTAGAATAAATTTTTTAGAGCCCAAATGCTGTTTGTCATTAAAGTTAAGCTCAAACTTTAAAATTCCAGACATTTTAAGCAGCATCACTTCTTGCAGGAAGGGAGGCTGCAGCACTGTTCTCCCTATCCTTGACCCACTGCACAGCACCTCAGTGCTCCTGTGCACCTGACCTCATCTGGTCTAATCTCAGTGTCCTGGTGGCATAGAGGTCTGGAGCATGAGGCCTTGGGCTACTGACAACAGTATTAGTCTCAGAACTGAAAAACACTGTGCCAGACAGGTGATACCTTGGCTGTTCTTCAATCCAGAATGACATCTGGCTTCCAAACCATGTCCACAGTTCTGCATGCTTAGAAGTTGCATCGAAGTTGTCCAGTTTGGAGGCTAGCTCAGCTCTACGGCTCCAACTCAGGCACCAGTATGTCTGTTTAACCTTACAGATTTAAGCAGTCCCCAGGCATAGTTCTGGCATTTTAACCTAGTGGTGGATTCAATATCTGATTTAATGGAGTCATAAATCACTGACAACCTGGTAAAGCTACCAAACATCAGCTTGATAAAGACATATTTTAATACTATCTTTTCTCAATTGTACCAAATAATTATCATACAGCATATTCATTCCTGTAAGCACATCAGATTACTGTAGGTACTACACAAATTTTTCTTTCTTACTTGTGAGATGGCATGAGCCGAGGAGGTACCTCCTTAGTTTCTTGGATGTGGAACAGTTGACAGAATTCCTGGTAATTTAACGTGGAGGTCAGCTTCATTCCCAACAAACCAAGTAGGCACAGGAATTCCTCATCTCTAAGACAAGCAGAAAGCTTTGTCAAGAATTGATGAAAGTTAAGCATGTTGATGATACCAGCATGGTTACTGTCTGTTTCACGGAAGGCAAAATAGGTGTCCTAACAAGGAATATTTAACTAAATATATTTAACATGTCAACTATGTGTTTTTAAACATAAATAACAAATGTTTGCTCTAGACTTGTTTTGACAACAGGCAAATATTTTAACACAGTTTGAGAATACAAAGCATTTGTAGTACTGCCTCGCTAAACACTTGGGATAGTCTGCAGTGAACTGCAGTGTTATTGCTTTCGTCTCAAGCATGTACAGATCTGAGAAAATGTAGGGAGCGTCAAGAAGCCACCCCCATACAAATTTACAAATTAACCTCCACGTTCTATCAGCACTATACTGCTGTCCACCAGGACTCCCAGGTCCTTTTCCCTTGAGCTGCTCTCCACCAGGTCAGCCCTCATCCTATACTGATACATGGGGTTGTTCTTCCCCAGATGCAGTACCTTACACTTGTCCATGTTGACTTTCATTAAGTTTCTCCCTGCCCAACTCTCCAGCCTGTCTAGGTCTTGCTGAATGGCAGCACAGCCTTCTGGAGTGTCAGCCACTGCTCCCAGCTTTGCATCACCAGCAAACTTGCTGAGGGTGCCCTCTGTCCCATTGGCCAAGTCATTGATGAATATATTGAACAGAGCTGGACCCAGTACTGACCCCTGAGGTACACCACTAGACACAGGCCTCCAAGTAGACTCTGCCCCACTGACCACAATTCTGAGTTCTGCCCTCCAGCCAGTTCCCAGTCCACCTCACTATCCAACCATCCAACCCACACTTCTTAAGTTTGGCTGTGAGGATGTCAAGGCAGATGGTGTTGAAAGCCTTGCTGAAGTCAAAGTAGACCACATCCACTGCCCTTCGTTCATCAGCCCATCCAGTTATGCCATTGGAAAGGGCTATCAGATTGGTCGAGCATGGCTTCCCCTGGTGAATCCATATTGATTGCTCCTGATAATCCTCGTTTCCTTGACGTGCTTCGAGATGGCACCAAGAACAAGCTATTCCATCACCTTTCCAGGGATGAAGGCGAGGCTGACTGGTCTGTAGTCACTTGAGTTCTCCTTCTTGCCCTTTTTGAAGACTGGAGTGACGCTGGCTTTCCCCAGTCCTCAGACACCTCTCCTGTTCTCCAGGGCTTTTCAAAGATGATAGAGAGAGGCCTAGCAATGACCTCCGCCAGCTTCCTCAGTACTCGTGGGTGCCTCCCATCAGAGCCCATGGATTTGTAGATGTCCAGCTTACTTAATTGTTCTCTAACCCAGTCCTCTTCAGCTGAGGCAGGGTCTTTTTGCTGACTTCCTTTGTGGTCTCAAAGGTCTGGGACTCCTGAGGGCTCATTTTAGCAGTAAAGACGAAGGCAAAGAAGGCATTTAGTAACTCTGCCTTCTCTGTATCCTCTGTTACCAGGGCGTTCAGCTGATCTACCAACTGAACATCTTCTCCTACTAAAACAGGCACAAAATGTTCAAACACCTTTAAAATGGCACAGTTCTTCAGAAATCTGAAGTAATGATGAACAGTATGATCTGCTTTGATAGGGGTGTCCAAGCTGGTTTAAACAGAGGATCCCTTTCCTGAATACTGGTCTTTCCACTTCTCCCAGGTAACAGTGGTGAGATGGGATGAACTGAGCAAAAGGGTAACGACTGCAGCTTCTTGCCTTTGTAAAGTGTGATCTTTCTTACTCTGTGCATATCCATGGTAGGAATTCAAGGAGTACATTGTAATGGTAATTACAGAAAATAATAAAAAAATTCAGAAAAGCTGGAAAACAACTCTTGATTAAGATCACTGTGTTACAAACTCTAGGGACAAAGAATGTCTTCTTGAAAGATAATTCTCATTAATAGATGGACTCTTCTATGAATGAGTAGTACAGAGTTATTCTTTTCTAATTGCAGAATCTTTAATAGCTATGTTCAAAAAAGGATGGGAAAAAATAACTCAGATCCTATTTTCCTGGCAGAGTCTGCAGAGAAGACAATTAGGGGAAAAAAAAAGAAGCTTTTGCCTTGAAAACTGAATGTATTTGAACTGGAAGTTTCTGAGAATACAGAAGACATGAAACCCAATATAATTTTTAGAGTCACTTTCCTGACAGCTCCTCCAAACCAACTTTTAAAACAAATGCTTGTATCGAAATAACAACCAGCTTCACTGCTAAAAGCTAACCATGGCTTGATGTATTTACCCCTTAGACTTCCATCAGCTTATCATTAAGCTAAATAAGACATTCTTCAGCAGTCATGTAATGAAATTTAGCATCATTTACTCTATGGTTTGGGCTGTTACATAATGCAGCTCCTGGCTCATTCCATCTGGCATCTGCAACAATGAAATCAAAGTATAGCAAACATTGAAAAGATGATATTAAACATATCTGATAAATAACACTGTAATATAACATAAACAACACAAGAAACCCTGCAATCATATTCTTTACAGCCCAAATACAACAAAGTCCAATAGCTGCATGCAGTATTAGTGGTGTCCACCTAATTTAACACAAAGTGAAGAAGATAATCTCAACTGAAGAAAGTACAGCTGAGACAAGGTCTTTTGCTTTTGCTTTAGCCTTCTCTGGTGCTTTGTTGCTTTGAGGAAAGGAGGTAACAGACTGGAGGAGGAGAAAAGGAGCACCACAAAAGCTGACACTTGCTGTCATATCGCCTGTCTGTCTCAGTGAGGGAACACAGGAGCTGCAGACAGTGTCAGAGAAAGTAATTTGTTATATTTTTGACTGTGCAGCACAACTGCTGCAGGCTAGACCATCTTCCCCTGGAGCAATCCTATCTTGGCTGAGCCCTCCTCTGGTTTGAACTGATGTGAGCTATTTCAGGAGATCTGCCACCAAAACGCTCCTGATTTTACAGAGCATCACCCCTGAAATTATTTTGCCTGATGTTCTGCTCTGGTAAGAGTCAGTCCTGCACAAACAGCAGCTTCATATTGTCGTAAGTTTCTGATCTCACAGCCCAGCAGGATCAGCAAAGGGAGACAGCTATCTTCCCAGCAGGGCACCCACTTACTTCCAGTCCTAAAGGGCTACGGTACTTTTAAGGCCATAGAAAAGCTATTTTGGTCACTGTTCCAGATCTGATTCCTTCTGCTCATTGTGCAGTGATACTCTAGGAACCTATCTTGCCTTGCTTCTGGAGGAAAAAGCATCTTTTGTAGTCTCTTGAGCATTTTAGAATTTTTCTGCAATATATGAGCCATGTAGAGGAGTAAAGCAATTCACATCAGATTTTAAAATGGGAAAACAATTGCAAAGAAAAAAGTACACACTGACATTTCACTACACTCTACTCCTGATTGGTAAGAAAAATGCTAAGTTAATGGTCTATTCTAGAGGAATGTTTATTTCTTTTAAAAAAAGATTTACATACACCAACACACAAGAGTCTATGAAACTTCTACTCCAAAGACTCACTAAATAGTATTCACTGCATCATTTTAACTTCTCCTGATTTTATGCTTTAAATCCTACTCCCCCCTACAGACACTCACTACCCTTCTTTATTTTTCAGTTTGAGTATCTACTGAAGTCTAGTCAAGAAAATTTGCACTCATGTTATCTTCCCACTAAAGCTTATAAGAAGAAAATCAGGTCTCTTTTTGTGTAATGACAAACCACCCTCCACCCCAGTGAATCACAAATAATTGAAAAATAAAAGTTAGGAGCGTTTTTTCTTTGCCTTCTGGTTTCTGAGACTTACTTTATGTTAAATGTGGGTCGCACTTCCTTTAACAACTATGAGATATAGTAATGTATGGAAAGAAAAGCTGTGATTTTCGTAACTGGCTAAAGCAAAAACTTTAAATCCAGACAAAACACTGTTGATTCTTGCTTTAAATCAAAGAGCTGGCACCCTCATTTCCCCCAGTGTTAACCTGTTTCCAGCATCTTTTATTTGGTTACTGGATGAAGGCATGCATATATTGCTGGACAGATCATTAGCTGGCTATATTCACAAATTTCTAAACTTCTAGGCCTGAATGAAGAAAACCCTGCATATTATATCAGCCAGACACAAGTCAGCTCTCCTCCTTGTCTTAGTTCCAAAAGAGAAATAATGATAGCAGAAAAAAATAGTAACAGTATGAAGAAATTAAATGTGCACCTCTGAGAATAACAGAGGCATAATACCAGTGTTCAAACAGGCCTTGAAGCCAATGGCAAAACTCCCATTGACTTCAATGGCATCAAAATTTTACTCACAAAATCTAGATGTATAAAAGAAATGAGAAATGAATAATTACTTACTAGTACCTTACACTCAAGGTTCCATGCTAAGAAATCAGTTCAGATTCCATCAGCTTCATTTTTAAGAGGTGGAAATTGAAACCCTTACTTACCCCATGAAATCAGTGAAATTACTGATGGGGTAAGGCAAGTAGCTGAGGTGAAAAAATGTGGTCCCCCATTACTAATATATTCCTCTGGTATTCATTCCTCAGCTACAGTAAATCAATGAAGACCACGTACTCATTATATGGGTGAACAACACACCTGTATCTAAACAAACACTAAACCTTGCTCTCTTACTGGGATTCGTGATACTTTAATAAAACTACTGATTATGTTATAGATAAACACATATTGGCATTCAGTAGTAGCAATGTCCCTTAGCACCTCTAACATTCAAAGACAATACTTTAAATTAAAACCATAAACCAATAAATAACCAGATCACATCACAGAGCTCCAGTTGTATATACTGCCACTAAATCTCACCACTTACTTACAGATCTTTCATTCCTGAAAGGGGTAGTCATTGTCTCTTGCTTTTTACACAGTATACAAAATGTTGCTGGACATCAGTACTATAAAATCATCCACTGTAATTTAGGATATAACATAATTCTAAGACTGCAAGTAAGAGTTAGAAATGCTGAGAACAAGGATGTACTCAAGGCAGAGCAATCAGTCAGTTACTTTTTGCAATCTGTTAGCAACAACTACATCACACCTCTATGTGAACCTTTTGTTAGGTCACATCCCACATGTTCCTGTTTTCCTCCAGTCCTGAGTTGGATACTCAGCAGCTTAACTGGATCAGGAGTCAAAGAACTACAGACTGGAAGGTCATTCATCTGCTGTAGAGCTTATCACTGATCTCTTCCTAATTTCACCAATAGCCTTCCCTAAAAAAAACAAAACAGAAACCGAACAACAACAACAAAATCTGGATCTTCCAGGAAAGGTTTGTATCATGCTCTGTTGGTGTTAAAATCCCTTTACCTTCCAATATTGCCACAAAATCCAGAAAACTCAACACTCCACCTGGTAACCCTAGCTTCTCTGTTAGTAGATTAAATTGGCTGTCATCTATTGGCATACCATGATCTTCCAATGCCTGTCAGAAGACAAATAAAATGTTATATAATGGCCTGTTTTCTTGCTTAATATATCATTTTGAATACTAAATATCTGGGTGTTTTATCCTATGGCTCAAGTTTAAATTAAGTTGAAAATTGATATTTCTCCCTTATAAGCCAGTTAAATATAGTTCTGTTCTGTACAACTTCAATTCCATATAGAAAGAGACAGAGAGCAAAATTTGACTGTATTTTGGGGACTGGCATTTTAAGCAAAAGCACCAAGTGACAGGCTAAGATTAAACTTCACCTGGAAAGTAAAAAGTGCCAGAAGAAATGACGTTAGCTCACTTAGCAGACCGGAGGAAAATTGTTGTTTGTAGAATTTGCTACTACCACTTTTCGCCACAAGCCTGCCACAGCTACCTCCTGGAGAAGAAATGCTGCATAGTGGATTCAGGCCCCTGAACCACATACAGCTGCAGCTAGGTGGAAGGCAGGATTTCTTCTGCATTGCTGCTCTTCAAAGCAGATTTGGGCATCCATTTTAGGTAATCTATTTTGGTGAGGAACTTTCTGATCTGACTGTATTCCTTTCCCTTCTCTTTTTCCTGCAAACTCTGTACCTCTCTGTCTCCATCTAAGAGGTACAGTAGTCCTATGGCAGCAGTCTTCCATTGCATCCCTCTTAATATTACCTAGCAGTTGTCTGTAGAGGGGTCCCTGGTTTTCTTCTCCTTTTCCCACCACTTGTTCCCCTGAAAAGTTGTAGTTGCAGCCCCTGCTGCTGCTGCTGTGGGCTTTCTCCAAAGCCCTTCATTTACTTCAGCTGCTTTATAACTCCTGCTATGGATATATTCCTTTATAACTATCCTGCACAGCTCTGTTCTGACTTTCCAAGTGTTCCTACAGTGATTACTCTTGCCATTATATTTTGGTTAATTGTACAGATTAAAAGAAAAAAATCATTAAATAGCTGAACGGCGTAAGGAGAGTTAAAAAAGTGAGAATAATTAGCAAATTATCATTCCTTTCTGTGAATGTAAAGCTTCTGGATAAGCAAGCCCATTTTATGTTCAGTTGAACAAGTATTTACCATCAGATCAAATGCTTAATAGTAGCGATAAGGAAATCTGGCTACACAAATCCAATCAAAGCTGGAGAGAATCAGTCATAATAGTAATGTTGGTGACTACAGCCTCAACTATTAGCACTTTCATCTAGAGAAAAAAAAAAGTGATAAAACTCTGCCAAAACTGCATGCAAGATAAAGTCATATTAAATTGTAAGACTGGGTCATTGTCCTGTGCTGAATGGCTCACAAAATGCATAGTTTCTAAGTCTTACTTAGAGGAAGAGGGTTAATGACAACCTTCCTGCAATTTTTCACAAAAGTGAAGGTACACATACAAATTGTGAACATTACCCCAGAGTTTCAGTTGCCATCTTCCTGATTTTGAACTATATTAAAATTCAGACAAGTCTGAAGGTGCAAAGGCAAGATCTGTGCCTACTTGCCCAATTCCTGAGAGAGCCAGGCCATTGAAGTCAGAGGTACTATGTTATTCTTTGGTAAATGATCTGTGAGTTTGGCATCCCCCTTCACTAGCCCTCCTTACACCTTTGGTACTCTGCAGACAAGCAGCTAAAAGATGTGCTTATGCTGTAAGCTGCAAAGAAAAGCAGAGAACTGGCAGTGTTGGTATAAACCTATAAAAGTTAACTGGTGATTTTATGTCTGCAATTTTGGATTATTCAGGCACACCAATATCAATTACTCTTCAGAGGAATATAGGGGTGCATTCTTGCCCACTCCCTTAATGTGACTGTAACATAATGTTATACAAATAAACAGAGCTTATGCACTTCCAAGTTGGGCAGAGAGCTTTTACCCACTTCTATGGCTTGATCTAGAATAACAAATCAGTAAACAATAAGTTTTTATGTTTACCACTACCACACTACGCTATTACTGTTTGAGCAACTTATTTCACCTCTGAGGACAAGCAGCTCTGCCCAGCTGTACAGTAGCTGCCTGGCTGCTCTAGAAACTGCTCTAGCAGTTTTGAACTTGACATTAGTGGGCAATGGCATTGGCACACCTGCCCGATTCAGGATTCAAAGAACAGTGCACCACTGTAGATCACTTTATAGAATCATAGAATGGTTTCGGTTGGAAAAGACCTTTAAGATCATTAAGCCCAACCATCAAGTCCAACTTTATCTTCAGTGGCACCCCAAAATGCCTCACAACCTACCCACCTGAATTCACCTGGGACATGTCATATTGCCTACACCATCTGCGATAACTAATGTATCCAGAACATCTATATGCAGCCGACAGATGTCATACAAGGGGTCTTACACCCTTCTGAAGCAGCAGTTGGAGGCCACAATGTCTACAATAGTGCTAGACACCAATTTCTAGATGTTCTTTATCTACCATTGAAATTACATAAGGTCTGAGATGAAAAGCAGCTGTGCTTTCAAACAATTCAGCAGAAGGGTTGATGAACATCTTGGCAGAAGTGTCAGGGAAATTGAAGCAGGAGGAGTGTGAAAACATCCAGTTGGAATTCTACCTAGACAATGAGATGAAAAACCCTTTCTTTTGCAAAATGTGCAGAGATCTTTAAAGAGCACATGTGATGGAGAATCAGTTTCAGTCTGCGTTTCACCTGAAAACACACATGCCCAGGCAGTTCCAAGATACATAAGGTTGTCTGTCACTTCAGTTTAGACAAGGAATCCCTTTTAATCACCCTTATTCACACTGAGCTCTCATCCTCATTCATTCTGGGGTAGGCTTATGTCACTCAGCACAGCACAGGGCAGAACTGGACTATTGCAGGGAAACATGCTCCTTCTGAATGACCACCAGCAACAGCAGCAGCAAAGCAGGGTTCCCAGCCAGTTTTTCACCCAGATGGGCTCTGCTGAGGTTGCAGGGTCCAAGAACATCATGATGCAGTGATGCATAGACCTGGTTGCAGGTACGTGACAACTTTTTCCTCTTTTGTGTACTGCCAAAACTTGAGAAATGCATCATCTATAGTTTAATAAGAGAACAGTGAAATCACAACGACTAACTGTTCAACAGCTTCTGGTGCTATACAAATATCTTAGATGTGAGTTGTACACAGACAGCTGATGCAGGAGAGAAAGGTAGAATGAGTGTGTTCTGCCTTACAGTGACAAAACGCACTAGCCGCAGGCAACATATAAGCCTCTTAGGTATCATATTGTACTGTAAATCACAGCAACCAAAGCCCATGTCCCAAAGGCAAGTGCCACAGATGTCTGATCAGTATGGGGGGAAGGGCTGCAGCTTAACACATTCTTAATAATTGTATTATTAACAAGAAAACATTAAGACAAAATAGAAAATACGTATTTTGTCCTCCCTGCTTCCCTCCCCTTCATTTCAAAGCAATTTCACTTTCTGCATGCAATTGCAAAAATATATCCATCTCAGGGTGAGATGTGTGGCTGAATACAGCAATGATGTTCACAGGAGAGGACTCTGTAGTAACAACCTTCGTCCTGTTATATGATGTGGAGCACATACCTCATGAGTTTATCTTGAGAAGAGGAGAAAGGAAGGCAACAACTCTGTCAGACCCTTACAGTCAGTACAGTTGCCTCTGTTTAGGTCATCAGTGACTGAAACAGTCTTGGAGGATTTAACTCTAGCTGTGTGAGCAGGCACACTGCTAAGACAAGAAGTATCTTTCTGGGAAAAGCACAGAAGAGAGAACAGTAACTAACATTTTTCCTACCTTCGGCAAGTTAGCTTTATTAATTTTCCCATGTGATTGCTTGCTTTAGACAAAAAAGCTGTCTTTAATAGTTGCTGCCTGTTGTATCACTCTCTCCTTCAGCCTTTTAATTACCTCATCAACAGTTCTATTCTGGGCATATTTGTTAGCTTGATCTTCAATCTGCTTGATTCTAAAATTGAAAGATTGTACATGAAGGCAAGTTGCTTATTTCTTGTAGTTTCAAACATTTGATTCAGCAATAATGAACAAGACTGCTTTAATGACAAACAAGACATAGACACGGAAGAAGCTTCTTTGATGAAAACCAAAATGCATCAAAGTTTATCAAGTCAGAGCACACATTGATTCCAAGGCCTAAATTGTGCAAACTTTTCTTATGTATAGCTTGTTTTACAGAAAAAAAAAATAAAAATTGAATGATACTACTCTGAAGTATTTCTTTTGCAAATGGAGATCCTAGACCTCCAAAACACAGGCTTAGTCATTAATGAGCCCAAGTTTCTACATCAGCTAAGGAGCCACCTTTATCTTTTAATACTTCTTCAGTTAACATGAGAAGGCTAAGCTAACATGAAAGAAGTTAGTGGAAGTATTTCCATTGATATTAAAAGGAAAAAATATCTCTTATGGTGTTTTTTCTCTTCCTGGATCCCAAGTAAACCACTTCCATACATTTTTACTTCTGAGGAACTGCCAGAATACCTTTCTTTCTCAGGCCCTACAAGAAAGCCCATGGACTATAAACTCTTCTTGCTGAAATACCATAACCTTCACCAATAAGCCATTAAAATAAATAACAATTAAATATTTAGTAACTTTTAAAGACAGAAAAGAAATTAAATTAAAGGGTATGTAATGTGTCCCACTTGTACCTATTTTACATCTATTATGGATTTACTATAACCCATGAAAAGGAAAGTTAGAACAATTATTTTTGTTAAATTTTAGAGCATGCATTTCCATATAAGCAAAATGCAAAAATATTCAGCAGTCTTATTTTATAGATTTATTAATTGTGTTTTATAGTATTCCCTAAACTTGAAGGTAATCTTAACATATTAACTTTTATTCTAAAAATATGCTAATGAAAAGAGTTCTACTTTGATCTGAGCAGCGCACAGAAGATTAACTCTAAGCCTCCCAAAAGGGATCAAAAGATGACAGTGACTGGTGACTCCCGTCTCAGGATCTCACATGAACTCATCCACTGAAGACACCCAGTCTTCTGAGATATCTGCTCTCTTGCCTGAACACAAGAGGTTGCCAAAATATTACCAACTTTACCTGCCCCACCTGACTGATTATTATAACCTCCTGTCTATCTGTCAACATAGGCTTTGCCATGAATGACGCTGAAAAAATGAAAAAGTAATTACAGGACAGGTAATGAAGGTCAACTCAAGTGTTCTCTATACCCTTCCTCCTTAATGAAGTTAAGACTGAGGAAAAGGCTGGATGTGTCCTGGAAATAAATCAATGATTACTTGCAGGATGCCATCTAAAAGACCATCTTCTCCATCAGGGGCTTATTTACAAAAATCTCTCTTTATCTACTAGCTGTCTATAGCTTTATAACCTAGTAGAGAAGCCTTAGACTAGTCTGAAGAAAGGACCTGACATAAAAGCTCATAGGAAGGTATTAACCACAGTCACTTAGCTGAGAACTTAAAACTACTTGGAATAGGGTATTACATTAAACAGTCATCGAAGAGACAAAACCAGACAGAATGGATCAAGCATGCTGGTTCTCAGTACATGAATATAAGAAACATGGTATAAGGAAGAAGACCTGGAAGTCCTTATGGTTCATGGAAGATCCTGGAATCTTACAGTTCAGGAAATTAAAACTTATTTAGAGTTCTACTGATAAAAACCTAGAAAATATGAATGTTACAATGGTAGGATGCATACTATACATCACTGATGTGAAAAACAAGATTTGGATTTGAAGCTCTTGGAGATTTAAGGTTTTTTTCTGTGAAGAAAAAAAAAAGCAGCAGCAAAATCATGCAAGGTAACAGAGCTGGTTGTAATTGGTTGGGTAATGATTACAGCAGAACACAGGTTGTCCATCAGATTATCAGAACGTGTCAGTGACATCTTGTTGATGCTGCAAAATCTAGTGAAGAAGTCTAATTAACACAAAGAAACTGCTTGAAAAGGTGAAATACAGCTTAGGCAGGAATGATGATAGAATGACAGACTTTATGACACTTGTAAAAGGCAAGCAGGAGAACAGTGAAAGAAAAGTAGATTTCTACCTTGTCAAGGAAGTAGAGTCTCATGGGAAATGGGTCTAAAGGGAAAATAACTTAAGGAGAGCTGGCAGTGTGTCAGTGAAACATGCCATCACAGTGTAAGAGAGAAGCATGAGTATATACGACCAAAATCTGAAAGGCCACAACACAATGTGAAACTCAGTATAAAAATTATCACAAGTAATGAGAACTCTATAAATTCTTCAGTAATATAAAAGGGATCAAGAAAATATTTGGCTTTCTATTCAACAGAAAAAGAAAACTACTAACAGATTGCATTAAGGGGATGAAGCACTTAAAGCCTCTTTTTCTATTGGTCTTCAATAAAGAGTCAAATATAAGCAGGCTGCTTGTACAATGAACACTAACAACAAATAAGGAAAGAGCAAATTACAGAATATTGCTGTGTGTTCATATTGGTTCTTAAAGCACTGCCTAAAATTGTCTTCCAAATTTCTGCAGAAAAGCAAACACACTACCTAGTTTTAAAAAGAGGGAAGGAGAAGAACCGGATAGTTACTGACATATTTCTAAGGAATCTATTCCTGCTTTCAGGCAGTAATTAGAGTCACAAAGAGTTCAAAGCCTGTTAAGAGACACAAGAGCCACTAGGGATCCTTGAGATCTACCCTGATTTCAGGCAAGATTATATTTTAAATTATACTCCCCTCCAACCAACACCACGTTTCCCTTAGTTTCCTAGGGAAATAAGAGTCATGCGATCAGCGTTTTAAGCCACATCTGTCATTCTTTCCTCTAAATTTGAAGTCCATCTACCAATTTCAGTCAAACTTGAAAGGGGTAGGGGTCTTCAGATACAGCAGTTACAAGTTTTGTGAAACTGACAGTCATCAAAAGAAGATAAATTCTTCATTCTCCTAGTTAGGAAGGCAGGACATTCTCTTTTCCAGTAGTTAGCAGCTAGCCAAGGAATCAGCATATGTGCTTCTCTGGGCTAGTCATGTACTGTCTGTTGCCCAGCTGCCAGCTTGAAGTACTCAGTGCGAAGTATGTTCTTTTATACCTTCAAGTAATAATTCACAAGTACATTTACCAACTGCGTGAGACACCAAACTCTACATCCTGCACATTCCCATCTCACTGGGACTGGGTCTCAAAGTTCTTCATTCAGGCCTGACACTAACCATCTATTCTAACACATCAGTTCTGGGTGCCAGAATGATTGCTGAAGGTACGGATAAAGCTCCAGATGGTGGCTCAGCAGAACATAGGGACAGAGTTATTTACTAGTGAGACCACTGATTTATGTTTTAATTTAGCGTACTATGTCCTATTGACAGAACTGTATTCCATGTTGGTGAGTCATCTGCATTTTTTTACATCTTGCCAGCTCTCTGCTTTGACAGTCTATCAGTAGAAATGTCATTGGACCTCAGTAAAAATAACCTTGGAGAATCTCTGAAAGATCTGCTCTTATCAATACAAGAAGAAAGCTCTTTCAACCTCAAGAACGGGAGGGACAAGCTCAGCTTGCAGAAAAAATAGGCTGATTTCTTGATTGAAGCACAGTTCATATTCTGCTTTGGGAACTATCTTGAAATGCATCTTCAGGAACATTCTGTTCCCAAAAAAACATTACAGAGAAGGAACCAGCCATAGGGTCTTAGATACTTCCTAGTGTTTCACAAAAGCAAATTAGGAATGAATTTCAGAGAGAGAGGCAGTCTGCTAAAAGTCCTGAGGATTAAGTTGAAGGCCATTGTCGAACAGGATCATTCACAGATAGGGACACCTTAACCACCCCAACCTCTTAAAGACCTTACAGGTGTAAAAATGTGGAAATATCGTAATTCCACTCATTGCAGACCATTGGTCCAAAATCACAACTTTGGTACAAAAGAGGACAGGTTTGCTTTCCTAGAGAATTCAGGTAATATTTCTTTTCCATTACTGGTCATGAATTCTTACTAAAGAGAGGAGAAGACATAATTTGGCAAATAAGAGACACACAGAAAGAGGTAACATCAAAATTCATAAGGGTACTGAAGTTTCATTTTAGTAATTTCAGGAGGAGGGAAAGGAACCTTGAACTCCAGGCTAGGAGGCTTAGAAAGTGTTGGTACCAGAATTGACTTGTCTACCACAGAACATCACTGGGGCAAGAAGAACTGAAGGGAAGATGTAAACCACTGCTTATACTTAAAGAAGGAGCAACTCACCTGTCCTAGCTCCAAGACACTGACCAACTCAAGAATCAGACATCTAAAGGTTTTAAACTTGTCAGAATGTCTAAACCAACAGTTCTGCTCAACATCATAAATAAAAGGTCAGACTTGGTATTTTTGCAGCATGTCTCAGCTTTCTGCACAAGGGATTGACTCACTCCTGCGCTGGCCTGACATAGTAAAATGATTCAAGCCATGTGCCTGAGAACTTGTCTCACACGAAGGGCTGGCTGGTAGTCAGGTAACACTTCCAAACACTTGACATCTGCTCAATAGCCCAATAGACTGACTGCACCGTATAAAGCAATTCAAAGGTCTCAAAGCCAACAGTCACCTTGACAAGAAGGTAAAGGAGATTGTGTTCTTTTTAAAAATATCCCAGAAGGCTTTTATCATCCAAGACCTCGCTAGGAGAGACAGAAGCATCTCCCAGCACCTGAGAGGCCTTCAGAAGATGGATAGCATGCTCCCCTGCTTTGCCTTTCTACAGCAGAGCTTGGCAAAGAGTGATAAGTGGATTTTGGTGAGTGCAAGCTGTCCTTCAGCAGGCATTTGAATCCTCATATTGCTTATTAAAATGTCAGATATCCACTGCAAGTTTTTCTGTGTTCATGACAGAAAAATGAAGGTCCTGTGGGCCTATAAACCATTCTGTGAGACCACTGCCGAAGATTGCATTAAAAGTGGCACTAAAATTGGTATTTCAGGCTCAGACACCATTGTTTATATCTATGTTTGGTGTCCCTGCAACATTTGGCCTCCATTAAAAAGTGTATGGAGTTTCTGTGGCAAGGCTCTGGACAACAGAAATGGACTTTTTGAGCCATAGGATTAGGCTGCCAGTTCTGACATGCGACTGCACAGACAAGGCGAACCCTAAAGCTGCTCTGAAGGGGATTTGGACGGGGACTTAAGAAACACAGAAGTGCTGGGTTGTTGAGCAGCAAACAAAAAAGTCTGAGGAGAATATGGAGCAAGACAGGGCATACTCCTGTCTTGAGAGCTGTTGACAGAAATGTGAGCTTTGCATAAGGCATACTGTTTCATGGAATACCAGCCTAAAAATGAGGGAAGATAGACAGTGAGCATGCCTCCATGGACATATTAGAGTAAAACATTATCAGGGTTCAAGTGAAAGGAAATACATATTTTCCACATCTGACCATGCATGTAGATTATCATAGAATCATAGAATCATTATGGTTGGAAAAGACCTTTAAGATCATGAAGTTCTACCATGCCTACTTCTAAACCATGTTCCTGCGCACCGTATCTGGGTGGCTTTTAAATACACCCAAGGATGGTGATTCCACCACTTTTCTGGGCAGCCTGTTCCAGCCTTTGATAACCCTTTCAGTGTGGAAGTTTTTCCTAATGTCTTACCTAAACTTCCCCTGGCATAACTTGACACCATTTCTTCTTGTCTTATTGGTTGTAACCTGTGAGAAGAGACCTACACCCACCTCTCTACAACCTTCTTTCAGGCAGTTGTAGAGAGTGATAAGGTCTCCCCTCAGCCTCCTTCTCTTCAAACAACCCTAAGTCCTTCATCCGCTCCTTATAAGACCTATTATCAAGACTGTTCACCAGCTTTGTTGCCCTTCTTTGGACCCTCTCCAGCAACTCAATGTATTTCTTATACTGCCGTGCCCAAAATTGAACACAGTACTCAAGGTGTGGCCTCACCAGTGTCAGTACAGTGGGACCATCACTTCTTTAGTCCTGCTGGCTATGCTATTCCTGGTACAGGCCAGGATGCCATTGGCCTTCTTGGACACCTGGGGACACTGCTGGCTCATGTTCAGCCAGCTGTTGATCAACACTCCCAGGTCCCAAATGGGATGCAAATAATGTAAATTCATAATAAAAATATTTTTAAGAGAAGCTGATCTGATTACAAGGGAAGGTTTGTTGTTTCCCCCTCATATTATGCAGGCATTTACATATATTCAAAGTAAAAAGTGAGGAGCACCAATAGGTCATACATCTTTGTAATCTGAATACCAATATCAGTGATGCTGGTCCAGCTGGAGGCTATATCTGTGGCCTGCAGTAGTCACAGCCATCAGATATGCCAGAGTTCCTGATCCTCTGAGAATGTTCAAATAATGAGCCGCACTGATTCTATAGAGGATCACAAGCTTAGTCTTCAGATGTTATCTAGAGGGCAAAACCCTAATTTCTGAAAGATGCAGTGAGGTATAATCCTTGTGGACCCTGTAAAGTGAGCTCAACTATTTTTACCTGAATCCTAGTGTCTTTTAAGAATGATCTATGTGTGTTTTCACTCCTAATGCAATGCTTTGAGTGTTGTACAATTTTGAATATATGTCTGCGAAATGAGAGATCAGCCCAGTACAGTACATATCATTAGAAAAACAGCATGTATCCTCAGCCTGTCTGAAAGTCTCCTTTCTATACATATTTTTTCTTTGCATTAAATAGAAAATTGTCTGTAATAACAGTACCTTTTTGAAAGCTCTGCTTGCCTTTTTTCTAATCTCTTTGTTGTTTTTCTTTTGATATATGTGAGCTTATACCATTTAAGTCACCAGAAAGAACACCAACTTTTAAGTTATCCAAAAGCATCTTGTAAAAGATTCCATCAGAAGAGTTATACTTGTATTTATAGCATAACCTGGATAAAGTAAGAATTTAAAATAATTTGGGAGTTTGAGAACAATGCGTAATACAAAAGTCTTAAGGCAAAGACGATCAAAGTAACAAATTTCATTTCCTTACACAGTTAAGGGCATTATTCCAAAGGCGATCCCTTGGGCACTGGTCACCGGCTTTCCCAGGCTCCTTCTGTAGTCTACAGAGAAAGCAGGAACCCAGCTTAAACTCTGTGTCATTACCAGGAGGAGCTCCATTGACTCTAGAAGAAACCTAAGGTTCAAGCCTCCCCTACCTGCTCTATCTTTTGTGAAAAACCCTTCCTAATTAAAACTTGAATTATATGGTGGACACTTGGAAGAAACTTGGCTCACCTGACACCGACCTGTCAAATTCAGATGCACTGGTGGAAGGAAGAGCTAAGTTCACAGTCACTGCACAACTAAATCTGTCAGAAATCATGAATGAAAGCCCTTGTTCACCTTAACTTGCTGTCTGGCATATGAAGACAAAATAAAACCACTAGCGGCCTAAGTTAATATTCCTGGATGTGAACCTTAGCAGCCCAGGAGCAGACACACTGTTTGTTCAGCACCTTCTGTTATTCTGAGGGTAACTTCTGGAGAAGAGGTTGAGTTGGTAGTTCCCTGGTTCTGTTAGATTATCCTCGTAAATCACTCCTGTGTAAGTTAGCAGAGCTCATGAATCAGAGAACTTGTCAACACAGTGTCGCTGCTTCACTGAGCTGTTCAGCCTGCCAGGATTTCATTCTTGTTCATAAAGGTTTGGGGCATTTCTGGATGAAAGCAGAAGGCTCCTGTCCTTGTGCTGGGGATGCATGGCATTCTCTGCACTCCACTTATCTTAAGTGTGTGTTCTCTTTAGAATAACACTAAAAAAATACCTGTGGTAAGAAACACTTGTAACTTAACTTATCAAGTGCCTCAATGCCTTCCTTTTGAAAAAAGAAAATAAGATCAAAGCTTTCATTTCTTTTGAGAAGTCTAATCCACACCATGTACACTGCAGGGGAGAAAGTGTCAGGGCCATGAGAGAGAGGGGGAAGAGTCCCCATTTTCTAGTATTTGTGAAGCCCTGTTCAGCTAAAACAAGTGTAGCCTTCATACAGAAAATGGCTGTGAACACTACAGAGCAACATCTGCTTTGTGAGTGTAATCCATAAAAGGCTTCCAAATGCCCTTAAAAATTGTTCCCTCTCTTCCCCAGTCTGAATGTCATCTCACAGGAAGCCATCTGGGACAAGCATGCCAGCTATTCTGCTGCAACGATAGCAGTATTGTCCTCAAGTGCCTCAGGATGAGTCACATCAATGCAAAAGTCCAATTATAGTAGAAGCCCCCCAAAGCAGAAGTATCATTTCAAATAAATAAGACTGATGTAGCTGAACCACTGGAATTCAGAATGTAATTCAGTCACTTCATCACCTTTTACTCAAAAACCCTGCATTCCTTGAAGCACCGGTGCTAAATCCCCAATCTGGTTATGACATTCCCAGCACAGATGTGATAGTCTTAAGCCTAGTGTGCATGCATTTAGAAGAGTCAATTACTTTATTTTTGCTTATTATTTTAAAATACAGCCTTTTTAAACCTGGCACTTCTAACCACTTTAAAGCAGCGAATGAACAGTGCCATCCACTGTTTCTCTGCATAATCCACAACATTTTCCTAGGATAGTCTTAAATAAGATTTTAAAAAAAAATTAATGCCACATTTGAAACAAAGAAATATGGATTGGTAAAAATACGCAAGTCAAAACATATTTTTAAGGATTCAGGCTAAATCATAGTATGACAACTCTAAAAGTAGATTACAACAAAGGAGATTTTTAAAAATACCTCCTCACCAGTGGATGAGACATTCTAACATAATTCTCTCTATTGTTACTCATTTATCCTAAAACCGAACACTTCTCCAGTCAAGTAGGCCATCTGTGGCATTGTTGAATAGAAATTCTCTCTTCATCTTATAATAAGAGTTACATTTCTTCTACTGTGTGATCATCAACTCTCTAGAACATTACTGTGAGGAATGATACTGCTAAGAATAGGTGCCTTTAGAAAAGTTTACTACAGAAGAATTAATAATATGGTGTGAATGAGACCCTGACATGGCCAATGCAAGACTCTATGTCCCCAGATGCCTTTGACAATGGAATCCAAACCTTATCTTTTAGTTGTATACTCTAGATGCTATTCCTATAAAAAGATTCCAAACTCATCCCATCTATGGTGTTACACATCTCACTTTGCTAAACACAGATACCTGCACTTTTCAACAATGCCACAGTTCAATGTGCTCAAAGTTCACCGTAACAGAAATCCTGAAAGCATTATATCCACTTCTTCCTGTGCTTTGCTAGAACACAACCTTAGCATTCAGTATTTCCCTAGACTGGTCTAACAAGACTTACCTTGCATCCTTTTAAAACAAAGGGAAAACAGTCATTGACTGCAATGATGAATGAATTAAACCTTAACAGTTTGCCTCTCGTTGCTTGACTCTATATTATTTTCCTATAGGGAACGTTTAGACTTTCAAGGAAAGACCACTTTTCAATTCAAAGTGGCTGTAATCCCTGACTTTTCTCATAGTACAAGATCTCTCATTGACACAAATAATGGTAGAAACGTTATTTAGAAAATTGTATAACTGCTGAGTCCCAGGTAATTCAAAGGATAATTACCTGTTCATGATCAATGACCACTGATTGTATACTACAAAACACAGAGCTATAAAACTGACAGATGATGAAAGCATGTAGTTATAGCACACTGTGCCGGGAACATGACTTTTATGAACCCAATGCATAGTACTCAAAGTTTTCTCTAAGACATTTATAGAAAGGAAAATGCGTACAGTAGAATTGGTTTTACTGATCACGCTCATGCTCATTCATATTTCAGGATCAAAGATTATTTTCCAAAAGCCATTTCCTATTGATGCTGTTGTGTTTGCTCCTCACACACAATGATCAGCAGGACACTGGGTTGTAAGGGTCAGACTGGAACTGATTTCTTTGATTTTCCTATTATGTTTTCAAAGGTAGGAAAGAATTTCACATCCTTCTGAAAGTCACTGGTTGTAAGCAGAGAGCTCCTGAGAGAGTAGATTAGACCCGATTATAACCTGACTGAAATGTTATTGCAATAAAATGCCTAATACAACTCCCTCTTCTTTGGACATAGATATTTTGACCCCATGCTCCCCATGCTTGTGGCTCTTTTCACTCCCCACTTCGGGGATCCTGCTCATATTGAAAATGAGATTTCATGTTGACAATATTAAATTTCAATTCCTTGTTCTTTACAGGAACAGTCTACTGAGGAAAGACATAACATTAATTTAATTTTTTTTTATTACATTGTGTTTGGAAATACTAAATAATGTTTGATAATGTCTTGGATCTCTAGCACATTGGTTGCTCATTTGTAGAAAAGGCTGTCTCACTCTTGAAATGCTGAAATAATGTCAAACTCAGAAGAGTTTCCAGCATGGAACTGTTATGAAAATAAATAAGGGATTTACAAGCTGATCACACGAGGAACGGGGCATATCTTCCACCAACCTTTTCTATATGCTCAAGGCAAACCAAAATACTTAATGCCTCTGGCAAGAGTTGTCATATTAAAAGACAGGAAGAAAGATATGGTAAGAAAAGATATCAAATTAAATCTGTTATATCTCACACATCCTCAACTTCATAAATTGATGATCTGACAAAGAGGAACAACACAGCCGTAGGACTTTTCTTAGATGACCTCTGTTAATAGTCCCAGTACACTTAGGATCATAGGACTGCAAAGCCTTATGAAAACCTTTCCAATTTTCTGTGATTTTATCTGAAAGGATCTCCTCCACCTAACAATCAAATGAATTATTTTTCAATAAACAACAGGCCCCAAATTTACTTTTAAAAATGTTTATTCTGAAAACTGACTGAAAAGTGACTGCAAGAAAGTGTAAACCTTACTTCATAGATTTACTTCTTTAAGTGACTGAAGAGATATGTTTACTGTCTGATAACAACGCAGAGCTTTTACTGTTGTTTCTCCCCTCAGTCCTGTAAAACTAAATCCATGAGGACTGAATGAATTGCAAGTGGTACTCAACTTAGGGCATAATTTGAAGACAATGGGCTTGCACAGGGGAAAATAATGACAAAATCTGGTTTACTGCATCTTCTTTAGGATCTGTCTGTAGCACTAGCAGTTAGTATAGAAGTGTTTTTACTTGTAAATTAAAGCCAGAATGTTCTGAGAAAAAACAAACACAGGGTCACATTTTGACAGAAAATCTCAACATAATTGCAGATCTGACCAAGCACCATACTATGCAAATTTTCAGATGAGAAGAAAGAGGGGGAGATGCTTACTTCCTGCCTGGATTTCTTAACTGGCTGGGGGCCTAGATTGTTTCCAGCTTCTGGTTCTGCCCATTGCTGCTTTTAAGATTCTTTTGACCAAATTACTTCTGAGACATGATAAAAATGAAGAGATTTATACTAAAAAAAATTGTCCTCTTTTATTTTTACTACCTGTAATCTGTCTTTTCTACAGGATAAGCCACACTGATGAAGCTAGCATCACAACTCAAGACACAAACCAAAAAGATTCCTTGACACTCAGGCTTCTTTGCAGCTGCTTTTCATCAAGATCTGGGTACAAACCCAGCCACAGAGCCCAGAACAGACCTGCTTCTCAGGGCATAATCGCTCTCCAACTGTGAAACCACAACCACCAGCATGGCTGCTGTGCCATTCCTGGTGGTATTTCATCTCAAGGTGACAATGTTCTATGATGTTTAACAGTTCCTTTACCTGCTTTTCCTCATGCTAGCATTTACTTCATTTGGAATGCTTATTTTAAGTGACAAAAATGGGCAGTTATCTGTGTACATCTCTAATATGACACTAACCAGTTAATTTGTAAATACAACTTAGTGTGCACATCACTTGCACATGTAGGCGCAGTCAGCATTTGCATTTTCCCCAGCATGCTAATTTTACAACTATTAAAGTTTGCCCCTGAATTTCAGCCAGACCATTATTCTACTCAAAACCAGCTGGAAGGGACTTGAGCTGCTGCATCAAATGTTGCTATTGTTGGAGCCATCAGAGTGGAAAGCAGCCTGTTTCAGCTCCTAACATCAAAGCCTTACAAAGCAATGCACACCATTCAGGGCTGTTCAATGGGACCTTTATTTTGTGTGTCTAGTATCTCTCTTGACACTACTGCTTTCCTTTGATATTTCTCAAAAACACTATCAAGACTACCTAAGACAAAGCTAAATATGGAGTTAGTTGACATAATAATGCAAACCTAAAAGAGAGTTGATATTGAAAATTATGAAAAATTATGAGCAGCTTCTTAATACTGGGAAGTAGATTTGTAAACTGTGGCTTAGGTTCTTTCCTAGAATAATTTAGCAAGCAGGAAAATATTGACTTATTTCTACCAAAGGAAACGAACATACTGCACAGAACTATTGGCTGAATTTCAGGATATAACTTCTCTGTACCTTCAGTGAATTGTTCTAAAGGAAAACATTATGAGATGACTGCAAATTCAGAAGGTGTCAAAGCTGTACCCATGAAAATATCCAATGTCTGTGTAGTATACAGCATATATTTTGAACCAATGTATATTACAAAGAATAATAGATAAAACAAGAAACAGGAAAATATCAGCAAAACAGATGTGACAACCGAAAGCAAAGCAGTACTGCTGCCATTCCTTCTCTGCTGTACACACATGCATGAGCTAGTGATTCTGCTGGAGTTTTCAAAAACCTCCAGTAACTGTGAGATTGCTTTCCAACTGTTGCTTCAGAAAGAAGAGTCTAGAAGTGTTGATTATGATTATATCATTGCTGGAAAGAATGTGAGCATACTAACTTAGATAAAAGCTGTATGCAGAGCATAACATTTTACCAAAACACAAACCATCATTTTTCCACAGCCATTATAAAAAAGGTTATGATTAAAGAATTAAAAGTAAACACTTACTACTCATGCTTTTCTTCAAAAAAGTCTAAAAATTCATGGTAGTCAAGGTATCCAATCTGTTCTGGATCAGTTATCTCAATTAACTCCTGGAAGCCTTCATCTTTTATTTGAAATACCAAGTTACGTAAAACACGATGAAGGTCATTTCTTGTGATCTTTCCATATTGTTTCTAAGACAAAAAAAAGAAAGCATGCATTAAAAAAGAGCAAACGTTTACTAAAGCAATGACGATTCCAACATGCCATTCTACACTGCTAGATCATCCTACAATAACTGAGAGCTCTGTAGCTGTTTCAGTAGTCTGTGTATACTGAAACTAGTACTTTTACTCCAGTTCCCAGTGAACATACAACTGCAATATTTACTGGATGAAAGAGTAAAACTATGGGCATGAAATTATAATGATGTTCTTATTACCTTGGGATAGATTATTTAGTTTGATGGTAAACTATGCCACTAGTGAGTGGATACATAAACTTGCATTGCACAGGACAGCTCACGTTCAGGTCAGTTTAGCATTTTGTTCCTTACCTGGTCTGGAAACAATGTCCACACAAACTTGTGTTTGACTGAATAGCTGCTGGGTCTGAGTAGACTTGACTCACTTGAGTCGAGTTGAGTCTAGGTTGCTGTTACCATGTACCCCAAACATTGCCTTAAGTCCACGCAAAAGTCCATCAAGCGATGTCTGTTATTAGATCATAACACGGCACTCAGCATGTTCATAGACAGCATATAAACCTACATTTATCAGTGCTCACTCATCCATGGCAGGATTTTCTTCATTATTAGCTTCAGAAAAACAACCAAAATCTCAACTAAACTTTTTATATTTGAGCATAGCTTTTTCTATCTATAGCAGTTTTCAGATGCGGTCTGTGGCCATGACAGTCCATAAGGCCAGAGTAAACGCAAACACTTCAGTCATTACAAAGATTTCAGTTAAAGATGAAATTATAAGTACATCATGAGCCCTGAGACATTCTGACTGTTGACAGTGGTACGTTGATCCAAAACATTTGAGACCTACAGATGTTGGACTTCCTCTTTCTTTTCTCATGCTTCCTTTGCATTTTTGTATGCATCCTTTAAACCAGCTATGCTGCTAAGCTGGGTCTATTGGCATTCTTGACATGACTACTAAGGGTGAATCAGCTCTCAGGGAGAATCTTTATCCATAGCCTGATGCCTGGTCACATTGTCATGCCAGTGGATATTCATTAGGACTGTAAGGTAATAGGCAATAGATGTATTCATGCAACAGGATCCGGATATTTTTATTTTGCTACACTTAAATGCATAGTTTTTCTCTCAGTTCCCATGGTGAGTAATACCCATAATTTATGTAGAAGAGTTTAAAATATGGGCTTATACTAACTCTTTTCTATGATTGTCTGTTGGATTTTATAATTTAAAATCTGTTCCTGAACTTATACTTTTTTTTATAATTGTTTATTTTCTCTAAAGAAATCTGAGGAAAGATAGTGGGGGGAAAGAAGGAGTGGAATAAGGGCTTTGGAACAATAACAGGAAAATTAGGAGTAAATAGTTCCTTCAGTGATTCAGTTTTCCTGGCTAAGCACTAGACAAATATCTTTCTGTTCATAAAATTCACCCTAAGAAAATTCTGTTTCCCTTTAGTCCCCCACAGAGATTCAGGGTGGCAGTAATAATATAGAGGATGAGCAATTATTTACTTCATCAGTTGGTCTGGGAAATACTTTAAAGTTCTGCAATCAAAAGATAATGGTCTTGTGAAACTACTATCTGGTATTTGAATTTTCTTTAGAGACTGTTGTCACTGCATTAAATCATATGGAAGCAAAACCTGATAATATACCTACCTTCCCCAGTAAATGAGTTAGAGAATCTGGTACTGAAGCTACAAAGACAGCTTGTACTTCACAAGAAACAATTGTGCAGATTGACTTGGTCTTACCCATGAAGATGAAATATCTGTTCTGATAAAAATAAATTACATTTTTTTCAAACCTTAGATAATATGGGAGAATTAAGATATACTACATCAGGATTTATTAAGCAGATTGCATTTGCTTATTTGGCCACCTTGCAAGTTTAATTTTATTTATTCAGAAGGATTTGATTTTATTGCCCAGATCATTATCTAAGTCAGTCCAGCATCAGTGTCATGACTGGGGATGTGCTGGTCTGTTCCAACAAAAAAACTTGGTATTATATATAAGTATAAACCATTCCTACGTGTATTTCTTTCACTGTGAGAGCCCTCTAGATGCTTGGGAATCAATAGTTCTTTCTGCAGCCTGCATTTCCACCACCTCAAATACCTCTGCTTTTGTTAACAATTTCATTCAGTAATGCTCCAGTTCAGTAAATGAATTAAAGTCATGCAGTAAAGTGCCTTACTGAATCATGGCCTGAATGCTGTAGGCGTTATTATTATCTACTGCAATGTATGAAACTGATTTCTCTTCCTATAAATTGCTAGGTGGATTCTTTCTTTTTGTGGTCACATGTATATATATATGTATATAGATAAAATACTGCAGAGCTAAAAAGAATAGGTTTTATACAATTGTATTAGAAAGGAGTTGTGATATATCATCTATATAAAACCATCTAATAAAAAATGCCAATACTACTTCTGAAGATATGCCCAGTGCTCCTTTTGCTTGTGTCAACCAGACTGAGAGCTTTAATTTTTTCAGTCTATTATTTGCTCATTCAATTCAGAAATACAGAGTCTACAATTTTAGAACTGCAATACATAGCAAATCAAAGTAATAAAAAAATCCAGCTTGTCCACTAAAGGGATGATCGCACAACCCAGTGCATGGGACATACATATCATGACATTCCATCAAAACTGACAGAAAGGCATTTTAGTATAGTTCTGTACATCGTGAGGGCCACAGGGCTGGTAAGGATAGACAGTTCTTTATCAAAAGCTCACGTTCGAGAACAAAATGCAGAAAGGTAGGAAAATTCAGATGAAGTTGCTTTTGAAATGGTAGTGAAATACGCAACAGTAGTCTCAACATTGTCAGTGTCACACATAAGCTACAGTCTACCTGTCAGATAACAAACTGCAAACATAAATCTTTTCCAAATACAAGGCAGCACTCTTTGTTTATATTATATAACATGAGCTTGTAATAATTACTGCACAGTTCGGATTCTCATTAACTTCACCTATCATACTGATTTTATCCCTTTATCAAAAGAGATTTGCCTTGTTTGTAATTTCTCCTATGTGGACAGGGACCATGGGGATGTATATTCCTTGCTAGGCACCGCATTTGAACATACACACTAACAGAATCACAGAATCACAGAATCACAGA